ATTTAAGTTTGCTCATCAGTAGAGTCATTTTTGTAATTTATTTTCAATTTGCTCGTCAGTAGAGTCCTTTTTTGCCTTTTTCAATTTCAATCAGTAGATTCTCTTTTCCATTTTTTGTTTATTTTCTTTTCTCTACATTTAGTTTGCTCGTCAGTAGAGTCCCCTTTTTTATATTTTCAATTTGCTCGTCAGTAGAGTTCTTTTTAATTTTTCTCGTAAGTAGAGTTCATTTTTTTATTCATAGATTACTCGTCAGTACAGTTTTTTTTCTTGCTTTGTTTCTGGACTGCTCTTCAGTAGTTTCTCTTCGTTTTGGTAAGTAGTCCCTTTTTAAATTTGCTCGTCAGTACAGTTCTTTTAAGTTTTATTTGCAGTTTGCTCATAGTAAAGTCCTTTTCGTTAAATTTGCTCGTCAGTAGAGTTCATTTTTCTTAAATTTTCTGATTTCAGTAGTCAATTTTTCTATTATTTTCAATTTGCTTGGCAGCAAAGTTTTTTAGTTTTTATTAGTTTGCTCGTCAGTAGAGTCCCTTTTCCTTTTATTAAATCAAGTCCATTATTCACACAAATACAACTTCCCTAGAATACCATTTAAAACTAATTTGTTTTGAATCTCCCGACATTTAAATAATTTCAAACTTCCCGCCAACCATTTCGAAATCCTCAATCCTCGATCCTCGCCATCTTCGCACTGACAAACTGTCAACAGCCATAACCACCATTTAATTTGAACGTTGCCTCATATTTGCGTTACAAATACAAATTTCTTTGAAACAAAATTTTACATTTTGAAACTAAAATAAAGCTTAACAATTTGCAAAAACTTGTGGTTGAAAAACAAAAGGCGTTGGATAAACTCCGAAAGAGAAAGGTAGGAATAAAATAAAACTTAGTAAGATATATTAAAGATTATAGATTACTAGACTTGTGTATAGAAAGTAGTTCAGTTATAATTTCTTACTGACTGATGCTAAGAGTTAAATTCATGGCTACTGTGCTAAATTAAAACATAACCATAATGGTATATATTATTTTAAAGTAGTATATATTATTTTAATACTGTATCTATTAATTAACCTACAAATCTTTCACATTTCCTATATTAATTTCATAAAATTTTCTATCCAAGATGATTGAAGACAGGAATTATCGAGGTTACCTTATTATAATTTGAAACTTTCAAATTTGAATGATCTATTGGAATAAAATTCAATGACTAAATTGTAATACTCGCTGATTTTCATAAAATATATTTATTCGGTATAACAAAATATAACATGATAGTTTAACTACTCTACTTTGATTTTTTTACCCTGTGTTACTTATAGTATAATATAACATTTATAAAGATAATATAAATAGAATATTTATGAATTTATAGATCTATAATCTAAAAAAGAGACTATTAAAAATATTAAGAAAGGACTCTACTGCCGAGCAAATTAAATTGTAAACTAGAAATAAAAAAGAACTCTACTGACTAGCAAATTCAATTTTTTTATAAATATAGCAAATTCAGATTTTTTTTTAAATGCCATTTTAAAATAAAAGGGACTCTACTGACGAGCAAACTGAAAATAAAAGACAAAAGGAACTCTACTCACGAGCAAATTCTGTCATTTTTAGTAAAAAAGGACTCTACTGACAAAGCAAATTCAGACATTAGTTTATATATAGATCTATAATCTAAAAAAGAGACTATTAAAAATATTAAAAAGGACTCTACTGACGAGAAAAATAAATATTGAGTTAGAAAATTAAGAAGGGACTCTACTGACGAGCAAGTTAAAATTTATACCAGAAGACAAAAAAGAACTCTACTGACTAGTAAATTCAATTTTTTTATAAATATAGCAAACCGACCAATTTCACGATTTTTTTTAAATGCCATTTTAGAATAAAAGGGACTCTACTGACTTATATATAAATATTATATTAGAATATGATAATAATAGAATAATATTATATAGAATATGAATAATGTGTAAACTCAAAAAATTGAAAGAAATTTTTGACGAGCCGTTCAGAAACAAAACAAAAAAGAAAGGACACTACAGACGAGCAAATTGAAAATAAAAAGTTCGACACAAAATATACATTAAAATTGATAATTAATAAACAATAAAATAACCTGATTGGAATGAACAATTTTTAGAAAAAACATTTTTTCAAAAAAAAAACATTTTTCAAAGTAACTTCAGAATTTTTTAGAAAAAAGTTTTTTAAAAAAAAAACTACTAACAATAAAAGTTAGTCAGTAGACCCTAAAGGTCATTTTTCAGTAGAGTCCTCCTCTAGTCAGTAGAGTTCTTTTTTTTTGAAAAATAAATATCTGAATTTGATCGTCAGTAGAGTTTTTTTTTTTTAACACAATATGTCGGAATTTGCTCGTCAGTAGAGTTCCTTTTTATATTCTAGTTTATAATTTAGTTTGCTCCTCAGTAGATTTCTTTTTTTGAAAAAATGTATAAATTTGCTCATCAGTAAAAAAATGTTTGAATTTGCTAGTCAGTAGTGTCCCTTTTTTCTGATATGGACTTGCTTGCCAATAATTTTTCTTTTAAAGAAATGTTTGAATTTGTTTTGTTAGTAAGGTTACTTCTATCTAGTAAAAAATATTGGAATTTGCTCGTCAGTAGAGTATCTTTTTTATCATCAATTTTGCATTTTAATTTGCTTGTCAGTAGAGTTCCTTTTTTATCTCCTAGTTTATATTTTAATTTGCTCATCAGTAGAGTTTCTTTTTCTCTATGAAAAAATAAATATCTGAATTTGCTCATCAGTAGAGTTCCTTTTTTACTAAAATAATAACAGAATTTGCTTATTAGTAGGGTTTCCTAATTTGTTACACACATCAGTAGAGTTCCCTTTATCCTAAAAATACATAAATTTGCTCATCAATAGAGTTCCTTTTTCTTAATTTTTTATTTGCCCGTCAGTAGAGTTCTTTTGTTTACTTATGAAAATGCTTTTTTTTTCTTAAAATGCCTGTATTTGTTGCTTGGCAATAGAGTTCCCTTTTTCCTAAAAATACACAAATATGCTCGTCAGTAGAGTCTCTTTTTCATCTTCTATAAAAAAAATAAAGATTTATTTAGTATAACAAATATAAAATATATTACGCTCTCCCAAGAGACAGAATTAAAACAAAATATTTGTGTGGAAAATACATATAAGTAGAACTCGTTTGCTAATTGATATTAAAAAAGAAGAGACTCTACTGACAAGCAAATTCATATATCTTTATTAGAAAAAAGTAACTCTATTTCCAAGCAACAAATACAGGCAATTTAAGAGAAAAAAGACATTTTTATAAGAAAAACCTAATGATTCAGAGATTTGTTTTTTTGTGATTAAATTGCCAATAAGTTTGTGCGTTTGTCTGTTTGAATGATCGGTGGGGTCGTTAATTAAAGGTTTATAAAAAGTTTCGTTGTTTAATAAGTCGTAGGTTTTTGAAAAATAATCTGACCTGTCTAAAACCACAGTAAGATTGCCCTTATCAGCGTAATTTTAAATCTCTAACAATTTCTAAATTTAAAGGAACGGAACTAAAATTAGAATTATTTGATTAGAATTATTAGGATCTAAATTTTCTTTCTTATCTGGGTTATTCAATTTTTTTAAACCAAACTGCAAATTACTACCTTAATGAAATTAAAGTTGAGGAAAAGAAATTTAGGACTAAGGGCGAAGATATAGAATAGTTTTAGAGCCATTTATCTATTAAATTTTCACTTATCAACGATACAATAGATTTATTACAATTATCCAAAAGCTTATTAAATTTTTTCATACGAGCCAATTTTAATTTTGTGGAAATTCTGTCATATTTCAAAGTTTCAATTTCTAGAAAAATTTCAAAATGAGAGGTTCCATAATAGAAGTTAAAACATTTTTTAAATTTCCAATTTTAGATTAAAAAAAAGGAAATGTAGGAAAAACTACTTTTAATTTGAAGTGAAATAGCTTCAAAAATAATGTTACATAACTTTTTGTTAAAGGAAGGAGATGTTAAACGTAGCATTAGACAAAATTAATTTTAACACTCTACTGACTATCAAATTTAGATGGAATCAAAAAGAACTCTACTGACGAGCAAATTTTAATTTCGATTCGGTAGAAGATTAAAAAACGAATTCTGAGTCAAATTATGAATTATAAGAGAAAAAAAAGGAATCTACTGAGGAGATTATGGAACATTTTGTTAACTTCATAATATCTATTGACGTACCTCATCTCTAATTGCTCGTTTGTTGTCTTTAATTGTACTCTCTACAATATTCGTCTCTATATGACATTGCACATTACATTGTGATTGAAAGTGGAAAAGGCAAAGGACTCTACTGACAAGAAAATTGAATCTTGTCTTTCTAAATCATCATTTTTCAACAATTACTTTTTACAAAAGAACTCTACTGACGGGCAAACTTTAAATTTTATCTACTGATGAGTAATCTTTAATTTTGAAATGGAAAATTATCAGGCAAATGCAGATAATTTTGAATAGTATATTTTCAAAGGGACTCTACTGACAAGCAAACTAAATATAAAATGAAAAGGACTCTACTGGCAACCAAATTAAAAATAAAAGAAAAAGGGACTCTACTGACGAGCAAACTGTAAATAAAAATATATCATAAAAAATGGATTCTTTTGATGAAATAATTAAAAAAAATATTTCAATTGTTTTTGAAATTCAGTTTCCTTGTCAGTAGAGTTCCTTTTTTTTCAAAGGACATCTTACTAATAATAATTTACTGAATTTCTCGTCAGTAGAGTCCTTTCTTTTCTAAAATGATATCATACCAATATTGATTTGCTGACTTTGCTTGCCAGTAGAGTTCCATTTTGCTAAAACAGTCTAAATTTCCTCGTCAGTAGAGTTCCTTTTTTTTTGAAAAAATAAATATCTGAATTTGCTTATTAATAGTCTTTCCTGATTCATCCTTCGGGCTTTTATCTTCGGAATTTTGTTCAAGATCATCTTCCTTCGTCTTTGGTTCAAAATTACAGTAGCAAATAAGTTTTACTTCAATCGCGTGTGATCCTTACGCGCACTCTTTTTTTTATCTTCTACTTCAAAATTAAAATTTGCTCGTCAGTGGAGTTCCTTTTGATTCCGTCTAAATTTGATAGTCAGTAGAGTTTTTTTCCTCATTATGAATCAGTACAAATACTCTAGAGTTGTGCCTCAAGAAGTTCTTCTTCAAAAATTTAGCTTTCATTTGTAAAATATAAATTTGTCAGACTTTAATATAACTTTTTTACCCTGTGACACTTACAATATAAATAAATAAATCTTTAATATATGGGAAACGATGTATCCACATCAGCAGCCCAGGCGTGCAGCCCCCCTACTAAATCGTATAAAGGAATTTTAACATCCAACGTCTCCTTTAAATGCTTCACAGCCCTCTGCGAATCGTTTCCTCTTCGACAGACAACATACACTAAAATTGAAAAGACAATTACACTAAATTTTAACATTCTCTTATTTATTTAAATTTATGTTATATTTATTATATACTAGATGTTAAATTATTAAAGTAATAAATAAAACATATATCTATATATATATAATATATTATATAATATATATATAATATACACCTAAGTCTGTTTTTACACGGAGATTGGTTCCAGAAGAAGCCGTGTAAAAAAAAAAACGTGTAAAAAAAGACATTATCTTATACAAAAATGGTGATTTGTCCTACTCTCTAAACTATTAAAATTAGTGAAGAACAAGAATTTCAAGAACAAGAATTCTGTTTATTTTAATAATAATTCCCCTAAATTAGTGCTATTCAAAAATTGTTTGTACGCGCTAAAGGGGAATTCACTTAAATCTTTAAGCTAGTGTTCGCAAACTATCGATACTATAGATGGTTTGCGACCTTTTTCGTTCATAAATACTTTTTTGTGATATGAACATACTTCGCAAAAATTAAATTGACAAAAAAAAATTTAAGTACATAAAATTTCAAATCGTGCTAAATGGAATAAAATCGTGTAAAAAAATTAAAAATATTCAATTTTCAAACGTGTTATATCAAAACCGTGTACAAAAAGACCGTGTAAAAACAGACTTAGGTGTATATATATATATATATATATATATTTCGAATGATTATTATTATGATTTTTATGTTTACCTTCATCGTTATTATTTAACAAATTGTTTAATAAATCGGTTTGTTTATTTTGTAGTACATCATCGATTGGAATGTTTATAGATTTTTGTATCTTGCACATTTCGAATTCAGAAGTCGCACGAACATCAATTAGTACATGTTTCGATTCTGTTGTTTTCTGTTTATTATTAAAATCGATTACTGTAACTCGTTCATCATTTGATAAAATTTTTAATTTTGGATCCTAAAAAAAATTAATATTAGATATATATAAATACACATTATCAGCCTGAAATAAAAAACGAGAAGTAATTTTACTATTACGTAACGTTTCGATACTGTATGTGTGTCATCGTTCTCAACTATCAGTTCAATAAAAAAATATTTTATACGATCAAAGTGTAAAGAATTTAAAATAACAATACAGGAAAAAACAGCTTACACAATTTAAAGACAAATAAAAAACAAACCAATAAATAAAATAATTAACTAAAAATTAATAAATTACTAATAAATTAATAAATTAATAAATTAGTTAGTCACGTGATTAACGAATTGTAAATGCAAAATCACGCCATATAGAAACAAGGGGGTTCACAAATGTAGATCCAGAAACGAATTTTGGGAAATGCTCGAGGTTGGAAGGAAAAACAAACAAAAATAAAAGCAATGTATTAAAAATATTAAATAATAAACGAAATAAATTACCAAAAAATCTAAATATTGAAAAAAACAAAAAACAAAATTTTTCCGCTTCCACTGACGAGCAAAAAAAATGAAAGAGAAAAGGACTCTACTGTCGAGCAAATTTGACATGTAGATAAAAAATTCGAAAAATGGACTCTACTGCCAAGCAAAATATAGTTTTCGTTAATGAACATAGGACTCCCCTGATGAGCAAAATGCAAACTGCATACCTCAGTAAAACTCTACTGACAAGCAAATTAATATATCAGTTTATTTTTCGTAAAAAAAAGAAAAGAGACTCTACATATAAGCAAACTAAAAAAGAGACTCTACTGAAAAGCTAACTAAAAAAAAGGACTCTACTAACGAGCAAACTGAAATAAGATTTAAAAAAAGCAACGCTGCTGGTGAGTGAACTGAAATGGAGATAAAAAGAACTCTACCGACCAACAAAATGAAAAAACCGAGAAAGTAAAATCTTTACTCATGAAAAAAAATAAAATAAAGGGACTCTATTGCCAAGCAAATCAGTAAAACAAGAGCAAAAACAAATTTAGTTATCGAGAGAATTAAATTTTAAACCAACGAAAGAAAGGAACTCTACTGACGATCAAACTGAAAAATCATAACAGACGAAAAGTCTACTGATAAACGAAAAATTGTAGAAAGAGGCTTTACTGACGTACAGAAAAAAATGAAGGAACTCTACTAACAAGGAAACGAAAGTCATTAGAGTTCTTGCCTCCTCAAAATCTTCATTAAAGTTTCTTCTTCTTTAATTTTTTAGTGTGTTCGCTAGTAGAGTCCCTTTCACAAACTTAATTTCTAAATTTGCTCATCAGTAGAGTTCCTTTTTCCAATCTAATATTTCAATCTTTTTTTATAAATTTGCTCGCCAGTAGAGTTCTTCTCCCCAATTCATTTTTTTGTCTAGTTTTCTAGATTTGCTCGTCAGTAAAGTCCCTTTTCTAATCCACCAAATTAATATTCAATCTTTTTGTAACTAGTGTTCTTATCTCAGATTCTACCTAGATATTAAATTTACCCGTCAGTAGAGTCCACTTTTGTAATCTTCTATTGAGTTTAATCCTCAGTTGAGATCATTTTTACTGAAAAAGGAGTCTTACTGTCGGAAAGACATAGAAAATTACAAAAGTGGACTCTAGTGACAAGCAAATTAAAAACAAAGCCGGAAAAAGGACCCTACTGACAATTAATATCTAGATAGAAAAAATTGGAAAAGGGACTCTACTGACAAGCAAATTTTATTTTTTGCATATATGTGTCTGTAAAATAAAAAGAACTCTACTGACAAACAAATTAATATATCAGTTAATTTTTTTTTCTTTAATTTTATAATAAGAGAACTCTACTGACGACCAAACACGATTTAAACAAATAAAATAAAACTCTACTGACGATCAAACTGTAAACTACAATTTTAAATGATAAAAGAGCACTTTTTAGTTGCATTGTTTATAACTTCCGAACCATTGAATTAATTTGAATGATGTCTTCGGCAAAATTGTGCAAATAAAATTAAATAATAAACAATATTGTCTTACATCATAATGCCCTACAGCGGTATACTCTAAAAACGCTTTTATCAAAATTATCAAATATTACGAGTATGAAGTATACTAGTTTCCATACAAACTTTACATTCGTCCAAGATTTCTTCTAAGTGTGCGAAGTGACATCTTGGTATGGAATTTAGTATACTTAGTACATTGATTTAGTCTATTGCTTGTAACTTCTAAACCATACGTTTAATATGAATGATGCTTAGGGCAAATTTGTTCAGAATTAAATTATAAACAATATTGTCTTATATTATAAGGCCCTACGGCAACTCGGTATAATCTCAAAATGATTTTGAAAATTTATTCGGTGTACAACTTTGCTCCCGCCATTATTGTAAAGGATTCTCATAGTAAAACCGGCGGAAGCAAAGTTGTACACTTAACATTGAACACAAATTATTGTGTTTTGTTTCGTCGCTTGTAACTTCCAAACCATTCGATTAATATGAATGATGCCTTCGGCAAATTTATATAAAATTAAATTATAAACAATATTGTTTAATATCATAATGCTCTACAGCAACTCGGTATACTCTAAAATCTAACATAAATATTCATATAAATTTATTACCTTATCCATGGCCTTTGCTCCACAAAATTGCTCATAGTCAATCAAAGTTGTAATAGTTTTGTTTTCGGAACACACAGCACAATTTAGATTTTCCTCGCAATTTTATATTGCGAAATGCTGAATCAGCAGCATAATATAGCAATAAGCGACCACTCAAAGTCGGTTTGTCGGTTATTAATTTTATTGCTTCCACTGCTTGCAAAACTCCTATTACCCCAGGCACTGGTAAATGAAAAAGAACTAGTTGTAAGGGTCATTTTTCCTTAAGGCAAGTTGCCAAAAGTGTCGATAATCGATAAGAATTGAGTTTTAACATTGTAATAATAAATATATGCAAGTTTTGTTTAAATTTTATGAGTGCTTACGGTGTTGTCCGAACCTAACACCAAGGTTTCTCATACGTTTTGCTTAGGTTCGGAAATGCATGGTAAGCGTTACGTCAATATTGTTTTAAATCAAATGTATTTATTTATTAAACGGGATTATATACGAAAAAAGGACTCTACTGACGAGCAAACCGAATTTTAAAAAAAGGTTTTATACGAAAAATGGACTCTACTGACGAGCAAGCCTAATAAAAGGAAATTATATGGGAAAAAGGAACTCTACTGGCGAGCAAATTCCGACAATTTGTAAGAGCAAAATATAAGCAAATTCATATAACAATTTTTTCAAGATAAAAAAGGACTGTACAAAAGAGCAAATTCAGATAATTTTCTTAAGATAAAAAAAGGACTCTACTGACGAGCAAAATCCGATATTTTTATTTAAAATAAGAACTCTACTGACGAGCAAATTCAAATAACATTTTTTCAAGATAGAAAGGACTCTTACTGACAAGCAAATCCGATATTTTTATTTGAAAAAATAACTCTACTGACGAGCAAATTCAGATATTTTTTTTTAAATAAAGGAACTCTACTGACGAGCAAATTCAAATAACAAGTTTTTCAAGATAAAGGAACTCTACTGACGAGCAATTTCCGATATTTTTTTTAAAAAAAATAAGTCTACTGACGAGCAAATTCAAATATTTATTTTTTCGAGATAAAGGAACTCTACTGACGAGCAAATTCAGATAACTATTTTTTCGAGATAAAAATGGCCTCTACTGACGAGCAAATTCAGATATTTATTTTAAAAAAAAAACAGGAACTATACTGATAAGCAAATTTAGAAACTTAACTCCAATACTTTTTAAGACAAATGTATTTATTTTATTGTGTAAATAACAAACTAAGTGTAAGTTATTGTGTAAATAACAACTAAGTGTAAAGGGCATTTTGCCTTAGGGCAAGTTACATGCACTTTCCGATATGTGTAAAAATTGATTTAGTCAACAAGAAATTAATTCTTCATAAAATTGAGATTTCGTTTGCTTGTCAGTAGAGCCTCATTTTTGTATATTATGAATTTTTTCAAAAATTCAGTTGGCTAGCCCAGTTTGTATTTTTTTTCTGAAATTCAGTTTTCTCGACAGTAGAGTCCCTACTTTGTATCTATTTTTTAATTCAGTTTGCTAGAGCCCCTTTATTGTATCTATTTTTTTTCTTGCAAATGGGACTCTACTGACAAGCAAACAAAATTTAAAAAAAGAGATTGAATACCACAAGAAACTCAATTAACAAGCAAACTGAATTTGAAATAAAAGAAAACGAAAAATGGACTGTACAAACGAGAAAAAACCGAATTTAAAAAATGAAATTAGCAAGAACAAACTCTACTAACGAGCAAACTAAAAATAAAAATAAAAAGGAGTCCTTTTAAAGGACACCACTAAGAAGCTAATTAAAATATAATTAAAAAAGAATGAACTCCACTGACGAGCAAACTAAAAGTAGAAGAAAACAAGAGATACTACTAATGAGCAAACTAGAATAAAAATAAAAATGATCTCTACTGATGAAGAGAAAAAAGTTTTAAAGTAACTCTACTGACAAGCAGACTAAATACGAAAGAAAGAAGAACTCTACTAATGAGCAAACTAAGAAAGATAATTAAAAAAGGATTTTGCTGACATGAAAAAAACTAAAAAAGGGACTCTACTGACAAGAAAACTGATAAATAAAATAAAGAAGGACTCTACTGACGAGCAAACTAAGTATTTAAAAATAAAATTCAAGATAAACATAATAATATTAGACGAAAAAAGAATTCTACTAACCAGCAAACTAAAATCAAGTAAGAGAAAATGACTCTACTGACGAGCAAACTAAAATGCAATAAAAAAGAAAAAGGACTCTCCTGATAAACAAACTAAATTTTTAAAAATGAAACTCAAAAAGGACTCTACTGACAAGCATAATAAAATTAGAAGGAAAAAGACTTTACTACCAAGAAAATTAAAATTAGAAGGTAAATGAACTCCACTTGCAAGCAAACTAAGTATAAAAATAAGAGGGACTTTACTGACGAGCTAATCAAAATAAAATTAAAGGCGATTCTACTGACGAGCAACTTAAAAACCAAAAATAAAAGCGAGTCTACTGACGAGGAACTTAAAAACCAAAAATAAAAGGGAGTCTATTGACGAGCAACTCAAAAACTAAAAAAGGGAGTCTACTGACTAACAAACTAAAAACAAAATAAAAAGGATTCTACTGAGGAACAAACTAAAGTTTAATTTGAAAAGAGACTCTACTGACAAGAAACTAAAAATAAAAATAAAAGCAACTCTACTAATTATAAAGAAACAGACGTAGGTAGATTAAAGACAGTTAGAAAGAGAGATATTTTTTTACTTAATTAACAAATATACTTGTTAACATAATTTTATACAAGTTATTACATAACTTAACCAGTTAATACATAACTGGTTAGATTATATATAATATACCATAAATAAACAAGTATAAATAGATGGCAAACACGCGGCCGCTTTCAAATTACATTAATTTAATGCTTTCAGCATATCACAGAGGTTGCCACCAAATGTAGCACATAAACTTACCCGTAATACCATTTACCATAATTTTATTTAATTTTCTAATATAAAGTTCAATTCCAGATAAGATTTATATAAATATATAATATAGAAAAGATAAACCCGATCATTAATTTGACTAAATGAAATGATAGCAAAATACACGCGTATGAAATAATATTTTCAAACAAAATCACAAATGTGTAGTAAAAATATATAATAACATTGATATCATTCAAAATAATATATTACAATATATAAAATTGGTACTTGAACGTTTAAAGTACGTATGCTATATCTAGAAAGGCTTTGCTTCAAAACAAATGCTGAATTGAGCGCACTAGCACTATTTGTGATATGCGAAAAACACTCATATCAGAGTACAGGGCGTTTGTTTCATGTTTACTCCCATGATCTAAGTCAATTATCTCACCTGTTGGTATAACACCTCCGTCTCCGCAATTCGTAACAGTTTCAGGAGGAGGCGGTACAGGAAATATACACCTACAACCGACAACAAATCGATAACTCTAAATCAAAATTTATAATATGTCCATTACCATACCGATAGCAAGGTCCATTCCTATAACCGTAGACAGTGAGCTGTCCCTCCATTTGGTAAAGCACTTCCGATATCAAAGGACGTTTTAGTAGAATGCAACAATCGTTTAGTAGATAACGAGTCGCCACATTGTCTGTACAATCAAGTACCAGGTCGTAGTCTTTGATAATATCCATTGCATTGGTGCTTGTCAATAGGGTTTCGTGTTTAATAAAGTTGGTTGTGGAATTAAGTCTGAAAAATATAAATAATTAACAAATTTTCTTTATCATTCAATAATACCTATTATCTAATACATCTAATGCATCTATTCACTAAATGTCTTTAATTTTCACCTGCTTAAACTATTGATTGCAGAATCCACTTTACTCCTTCCCAGACTTGACTCGTTATGCAACAATTGTCTGTGCAGGTTAGTTATTTCAATAACATCATGATCTAGTAGTCCGATAGTACCTTAAAACATAGAGCCCCATTATAACCTCATCTATCAATTATTACCTACTATCTATTATCAATCTATTATTACCTACGCCTGCACCAGTCAAATACATTGCAGCAGGACAACCCAGTCCTCCTGCACCAACGATTAAGACGGAGGTCTTTTTAAGTTTCAATTGGTTTTCCATACCGTGATCAGGTACCAGGATTTGTCGACTGTATCTTTCTATATCAGATTTGTCTAGAACCAGAGATTTTGCATCTTCTAACATCTTAAATAGAAAATTGTATGGAATTAATATCAGAAATGTGAAGGATTTGTAGGTTATGTTTTGATTTAACACACTAAACATGAATTTAATTCTGTTAGTAGGAAATGGTAACTGAATTTACTATATATACACAATTTTTATTTTATTTTGTATTTAATTATCTTGTATCAGCTTGAAAAGAAAATTGCATGGAGTTAATATCAGAAATGTGAAGGATTTGTAGGTTATGTTTTAATTTAACACATTAAACATGAATTTAATTCTGTTCGTAAGTAATTTTAAATTAAATTGCTGTCTATACATAAGTCTGGGTTTTATATTAGTTTAAAATGCATATAAATAAATTTCTATTTTATAAAATTTGTTACTAAGATTTTTTCGTACCTTTTTCCTTCGGAGTTCATTCAACGCCTTTTCTTTTTCAAACAAAAGTCGTTGTAAATCGTGAACTTCATCTTGCACTTTTTTAATTTCTTCATCTAGCGACATTTCACGTTAAAACTGTAGATTTCTGTTTAAAAAACTAATTAAAAATGTAAAATATAAAATAATATAAAGGTTTGCCGGCAGAAGTGCATAGAGGTTATGTTTCTGACAGTTCAAATATGGCGCAGATTTCACAAAGATTGGCGTGAAGTTTGAAATGATTGAAGAGGCGGTAAATTCAAATCAAATTAGTTGTAAATGGTTAAGAGAAGTTACATGTGTGTAAATAATGGACTTAAATAAAGAAAAGGAAAAGGGACTCTACTGACGAGCAAACTTATATAAAAGCAAAAGGGACTCTACTACTGACAAGCATTTTATAAATAAAATTTAAAAAGAGTCTCTACTGTAAAATGAAGTAAAAAGAATAAAAGATAAGGCGGTATTGAAAAATTAAATCAATAACAAAACCAATACACCAAAACAAAGTCTACTGACGAGCAAAATGTTAAATTTTAGCAGTTCCTTTCATATATCAAACACTTATCATAGGCCTCTAATATTTTACCTTGTTATTTCAGACTGCAAAGTTTTATCAAAATCTACAAAACAAAATTAATTAAATTTTCAAAACTAAACTTTCAAATACAAATTGTAAGCTTAGATTTAGTGCTAAATATTTCAGTAAAATGCAGTTTGTCGTTAAAACTATATATACAAGTATAATGTAAATTTCATAAGCTAAGCTATTAAACTAAATGTAAATTTCATAAGCTTTCATAAACTATATATAGTTTTATCTAAAACTATATTTATGTGTATGCTATAGTTTTGTTGTAAAATTAAATAGTTATTGATTTGTTAACATATTAATAATTTGTATCATTAATAATTACCTTAATCTCAGTTCAGCAGTATTATGATTCCATCCCACTTCTGTCAAATATGCGATTCAATTTATTATATTATAATATTGTCTAAAAAAAGAACTCTACTGACGAACAAAATATAAACAAAACGAACATTAGATACGGTGCCAACAAGATTCCTGTGCCAGACGATTCAGGATGACTCAAAATATGAAATTATAAAAAAAAAATAGAAAAAAAAACTACTGACAAGCAATTTCGAGGAAAAATATGAAAGGTCATTTAAGAAAAAAAGAAAGAACTATGCTGACGGACAAATTAAAAACAAATGGGAAAAAGATCTCCATCTACGAGCAGATTGAAAAAAATAAAAAAAGGTCTTTGCTGACGATCAAATTCAGAAAAAATAGGAAAAGAACTCTACTGACAAGCAAATTAAAAAAAAATAAGGAAAGGGACTCTACTGACAAGCAAATTCAGCAAAAATAGAAAAAAGAACTCTACTGACTAATTATAAAAAGATAGGAAAAAGGACTCTACTGACGAGCAAACTCATAAAAATTAGGAGCAAAAGAACACTACTGACGAGCAACTTAAAAAAAAAAAATGGAAAAAAAGGGACTCTATTAAAAGAGCAAATTTAAAAAAAAAAGGGGGGCTCTACTGACGAGCAAACTCAAAAAATAAATGGAATAAGGACTCTACTGACAAGCAAACTGAAAATAAAAAGGAAGAGACTCTACTGCCAATAAAAATATATTTAGAAAAAGATAAAACTTCAATTATTTCTGAAAAAAGAACTTTACTAACGAGTAAATTTAGAAAAAAAACAAATTGGAATATTAAATTTACAGAAGGACTCTGCTGACAAGCAAATTTAAAAAAAAATAGGAAAAGGGACGAGTAAAAAAGAATATAGAAAATGGAACTCTACTGACCAAAAAATTAAAGAAAAAGTAGAGAAAAGAACTCTACTGACGAGCAAACTAAAAAAAGCTAGGAAAAAGGACTCTACTGACGAGCAAATTAAAAAAGAATAGGAAAGGGACTCTACAGACAAGCAAATTCATAAATAAAAAATAGGAAAAAACTCTACTAGCAAACAAACAAATTTACAAAAAAATGAGAAAAAAACTACTAAACAGCAAAGGAAAATGGACTCCTGACGATAAAATTTACAAAAAAAAAATAGAAAAAAGGACTCTACTGACGAGTAAATTCAAAGCAAAATAGGGAAAGGACTCTGCTGACGAGCAAATTCAAAAAAATGAAAAAATTACTAACTAGCAAATTCAGAGAAAAATGACTACTGACGAGGACACTAAAATAAAAAATGGGACTCTACTGACGAGCAAATTCAAGAATAAATGGAAAGGTTAGGAGTCGCTTTTTAAAGTTAGGAGCAAATTGCTAAAAGAAATAATTTTGCAAAAGGGACTCTACTGACGAGCAAGTGGAGTAAAATGTTATATTAGAAAATCTTAAATCACATTTAGAAAAAATCACTTTCCGCAGGCCAATAATATTTTCAGAGTTCGATTTCTCTAATCGACAGTTTATTCATTTCACCAAACAATTAGAAATGATATATCCTTTGAAAAACTAACAAAAACCATTTCGACATAATATTTAGAAACACTTTCCCACAGGCCTTTAATATTTTACAACTGCAATTTCTCTCATCAACATTTTATTCATTTCACCAAACGATTCAAAATGACAAGTCCTTCAAAAAAACAATTTCGGTATAATTTTTAAAAACACTAAAATCACTTTCCCAAAGGCCTATAATATATTTTCTACTGACGAGCAAATTGAATAAAAAAAGGAAAAGGGAATCTACTGACGAGCAAATTTGAAAAATAAATAGAAAAATGACAACTGACAAGTGAATTAAAAAAAAATAGGAAAAACGATCTACTGACGAGCAAATTCAGAAAAAAATGGAAAAGGTTAGCAGCCGCAGACTCTACTGACGAGCAAATTTAATAATAGATTAAAAAAGGACAAACGGAAAATAAAAAAGGAGCAAACTGAAAGTAAAAAGAAAAAGGGACTCTACTGACGATCAAATTAAAAAAATAGAAAAAAGGACTCTACTGACGATCAAATTTAAAAAAAAAGTAGGAAAAAGGTCTCTTCTGATGAGCAAACTTATCATAAGAAAAATAGAAAGAAACTCTACTGACGAGCAAACTAAAAGTAAAAGATAAAATAAACCCTGCTGACCAACAAATTCGGAAAAATTAGGAAAATAGACTCTACTGACGAGCCAAGACGGAAAAAATAAGAAAAGGGACTCTACTGACGAGCAAACTGAAAAAAAAAATTGAGGCAACAGGACTCTACCAACAAGCAAACTAAAAAAAAATTAAGTACAATAAAAAAAATGGAAAAAGGACTCTACTGACAAGTAAATTCTGAAAAACAAAGAAAAAATGACTAAAAAAATAGAATATTAATTTAAAAAAAAAGAATTCTACTGACGAGTAAAGTCCAGAAAAAACAGACACTATTCGAATTAAATTTTGGCTTTTACACACTATTTATTTATTTTCAGGGTCAAACGATTCAAAATGATATCTCATTCAAAAAAAGTAGCAAAAACAATCTCGATATAATTTTTAGGAACACTAAAACCACTTTCCCACAGGTTATAATTTTTAGAAACACCAAAAAATCATTTTTCCATAAGCCTATAATATTTTACAGCACCGACTTATACCATCAATCAAGTTTATTTTTTTCAAACCATTCAAAATAACAAATCCTTCGAAAACAACCTCAACATAATTTTCAAAAAACACTTTCCCACAGGCCTATAATATTTTACAACCGCAATTCTTCGAGTTCATTCAATTCCATTCCACCAACTTCATATATTACATGTATTTATTTAAAAAAAATTTAATAACATAACAAACAGTAAAAAACATGTACATTAAAATTTTATTACAAAAATATTATCTGCCATCAGCTCTCTAACTAATATTTACCGGTTTAGAGGTTTACTCACAACTATCGAGTCCTTTACTAAATTGAAAACCATTCTATTTGTTTATCTCTATCTTTTTCATGTGCATGTTGAAAGAAAATCGAATCGCGAATCGGATAATAAATTAATAATAATAATTAGTTTGTAGTTTAAATTCTGAATTTTTTTAATTAATTAATTATTTAAATAAATGAATTTTGTTATCGACTAACTAACTAAACAGCTGCTCCGTCGCCCTCTCCAGTTCCCAGTTGTAGGAGGATAGTGCCACTCGGGCCTGGTGCTCCTCGATGCCCATGTCGATGAGGCGCTGGATTTTGGTGTTGCAGTCGGAAAAAACATGAGGACCTGAAAGAAAGATAAAAAGAGACTAAGTTTGTTTTTGAAGTAAAACTTCTAAAGGGACTGTCGACACAATAAAGTTGTATGGTTTTAGTTTTAGTTGGTCGATCGATTGAGTTTTTTTTGGATTTGAATACAAATGTTGGGGAAGTGTTTGAATACAAAATTGTCTAAAATTAACCAAAAATGTCTTACTTAAAATTATATGAATTGGTCCAAAACAGTTTGATATTGTTTTAAATCGTACAAAATTAAATAATTCATAAAAATTAGGAGCAAATTCAGAAAAATAAAGCAAAAGGCGCTCTACTGACAAGCAAATACAGAAAAAGGGACTCTACTGACAAGCAAATTTATAAAAATTAGGAGCAAAAGGACTCTACTGACGAGCAAATTAAGAAAATATTAAAAAAAATTATTACTATAAAGGAAATTCGAAGAACAAAAGAAAAGGGACTCTACTGATTAGCAAATTAAGAAAATATTAAAAAAAATGTTACTGTCGAGGAAATTCAAAGAATAAAAGAAAAGGGAATCTACTGACGAGCAAATTCATAAAAAAAATTTAAAAAAAACTCTACTGACAAGTAAATTTATAAAAATTTGAAACAGAAGGACCTTACTGACGAGCAAATTCAGAACAAATAGAAGCAAAAGGACTCTACTAAGAAGCTAAAGGACAAGCAAATTAAGAAAATAAAAAAAAAATTGTTACTGTCGAGGAAATTCAAAGAAAAAAGAAAAGGGACACTACTGACAAGCAAATTTATCAAAATTGGGAGCAAAATGCTCTACTGACGAGCAAATTTAGAATAAATAGAAAAAAGGACTCTGCTAACGAGCAAATTTGAAAAAAAAATAGAAAAATAACTCTACTGACTAGCGAATGCATAAAAATTAGAAACAAAAGGACTCTACTGCCAAGCAAATTAAGAAAATACAAAAAAAATTGTTACTGTCGAAGAAATTCAAAGAAAAAAAGAAAAGGGACTATACTGACGAGCAAATTCAAAAAAAAAAGAAAAAGGACTCTACTGACGAGCAAATTTATAAAAATTGAAGAAAGGATTCTACTGACGAGCAAATTCATAAAACATAGAAAAAAGGACTCTGCTGACAAACACATTTAAAAAAATTAGAAAAAAGGGCTCTACTGACGAGCAAATACAGAAAAAGTGACTCTACTGACGAGCAAATTTATAAAAATTAGAAGCAAGAGGACTCTACTAACGAGCAAATTCAGAAAAAATAGAAAAAAGGACTCTACTGACGAGCAAATTCAAAAAAAATAGAAAAAAGGACTCTACTGACAAGCAAATTGAAAAAAAATAAAAAAAAGGCAAACTGAAAATAAAAAAGCAGCAAAATGAAAACAAAAAGAAAAAGCGATTCTACTGTAAAGCACATTTAAAAAATAGAAAAAAGGGCTCTATTATAAAAAATTTATAAAATGGTCCAAAATATTTTAAATTGCACAAACTGTTTTATATTACCCAAATTGTCTAAAATTGCTTCAAGTTGACCAAAATTGTTTAAGATTGACCAACATTTAGTAAAATAGTTTTAAAAAAAGTATTTAAAATTGTAAAAATTTGTTTAAAATTGTCCTATATTGTTGAAAATTGTCTGAAATAAAATTAATTTTTTGGTCTAAAATCTAAGTTAAAATTGTTAAAATTTGTTTTAATTGTCCAAAATTATATTACCCAAATTGTATTACCCAATAATCTTTTCAAATTATTCAAAATTGTCCAAAATTGTTTTAAATTGTCCAAACCATTTTAAAATTTTCAAAAAAGTTTGATATTATCCAAAATTGTTTAATATTCGTAAAATTTGTTTTAAATTTTACAAATTTGTCTGAAATTGGAAAACTTTATTTTAATCCAAAATTAACCAAAATTGTCAATAATGACCAAATGGTTTAATATTGTTTAAATTTAAAATACTTAAAAATTATTTTAAATTGTCCAAACCATTTTATAATTTCCTAAATTGTTTGAAATTGATAAAATTTGATTTAAATTGTCTAAAATTGTCTAAAACTAACCAAAGATTTGACTCATATGGTATAAAATAGTTTGATTGTCCGAAAATGCCCAAAATTAATTCAAATTGTCCAAAATTACTTAAAATTGTTAAAATTTTGTTTAAAATTGTCTGAAATTAAATTAAATTTTCTAAAATTTACCTTAATCAACCAAAAGTGTTAAATATTGGTTTGAATTATTTAAAAAAAATATTTTTGATGTATGATTTAAATTGTCTAAAATTGTCCAAAATTATTTTATATCATCCACAATTGATTTCAATTGTTTCAAAATTGTTAAAATTGGTTTTATATTCTTCAAATTGATTTAGATTATTTTAAAATATAGAAATACATATAATTTTTTAAATATTTTAAAATTGACCAAAATTAACCAAAATCATGTGTAATATTCAAAATTGTCAAAAATTGATTTATATTGACCGAATTGTCTGAAGTTGACTGAAAATGTTTAAAATAGTGCAAAATTGTCTAGAATTGTCCAAAATTGACGAAACTTGTTAAATATTGCTTAAAACTGTCTGAAATTGTCCAAAATTGTTGAACACCGTTTAAAATTATCCAAAATTATTTTTAATTGTCTAAAAATTGTTCCAAAATGTCTAAAATTGATCAAAATCGTACCAACTTGGTAAAACTTGTTTGAATCTGCCCAAAATTTATCAAAATTGTGTAATATTTCTAAAATTATCTGTGATTATATATTATATATATATACATATATATATATATATATATATATATATATATATATATATATATAATTTACCTCCTGCATAAATGTTTGTCCAATGTTTAGCCGTCAGCGTAAACATTTCATTATTTTCTTTGTATTGTTTGGCTACGACTGCATCCTGAGGATCATCTGGCTCTGCTGCCGATAAAAGGGCTTGTAACGATAATAACACAGTACGGAGGGTCATTGCAGCAGCCCTAGAAAAGAAAAAAACATACATATACATATACATATTTATATATATATATATATATATTATATATATATATATATATTAGGTTGTCAAATATCTCCCTTCCGCCTTTTTGTATTATAAACCAAGAGCAAAAAAGCGGAAGGGAGATATTTGACAACCTATATATATATATATATATATATATATATATATATTAGGTTCAAAATTCTATTGACAAGTTGCTCAATTTAAAATTATTACATTAGACCCTTAATCTACTCTCCGAGACCTTTCAAATAATATGTCACATGCTAAAATGTTAAGGAATTGCCTATTGGCAAGTTGCCAAATGTATTAAATGAAATTATGATTCAAGATCCTCATTGTTGTAACAATTTTTTTTTAATTTTTTTTTTATATTTTTATTTATATATTATTTTCATATTAATTTAATGCAGAATACAATAAAAGTTTAAATTTGTTACAACAAAACTTTAAAAATATTTGTATTGAGGTCCAAAAGACCTTTTAAATGAGGTAATTACTTTATTAGAACAATAATTATTAAAAAAAAAATCAAAATGTAATAATGTGTTAAATAAATTATATATAACTATTTAAATAATTGAATTTCTCATTAAAGGTTCTAAGTATTTAATATTTTAATGTCTTGGACATAAAATTTAATAATATGTAAATATTTAATAACATATAATGTTTTATTTGAACTATTTTGTTTTTTTTTTAGTTTAAACGTAACATTAACGAAACATTCAGTTACGTTTTATGTTCAAAGCACAAATACTAAGGACACTTTTTTATATTTATATTTGTACTGCAGTTAGTTTGTTATAATTAATATATATTATTATATATCATTAGAAAGCTTATAAAATTATCTACAAATCTGTATATAACAATTTATAACGTTTCTAACAAAATTATTTTTAAAAAATTGTTCAAACTTTAAAAGTGATCATTGAGTTGCTTGGAGTTGATTTCTAGTCTGGTTACATTTTTTTATATTTACGTTTATATTGTTTAAATTTGTCCTAACACATTAACATTATTATATATCATTAGAAATCTAATTAAATTATCTACAAATCTGTATGTAACAATTTGTAACATTTAGAACAAAATTATATTTAAAAAAATTGTTTAGATTTTGTATAGTCATTTGCATTGTATTACACTTTGATCAATTTTTTTTTAATAATTTGTTCTAGTGTGTATATATTATTATGCATCAATAGAAAGGTTATAAAATTATCTTCAAATCTGTATATAACGTTTAATAACGTTTCTAACAAAATTATTTTTAAAAAAATTGTTCAAACTTTAAAAGTAATCATTGAATGGCTTGGAGTTGATTTATTATTCGGTTACATTTTTTTATATTTACCTTTATATTGTTCAATTTAGTTCCAACACATTAATATTATTATATATCATTAGAAAGCTAATTAAAATATCTACAATTCTGTATATAACAATTTATAACATTTAGAACAAAATCATATTAAAAGAATTGTTTAAAATTTTAAGTCTATGTAGGTTAGTTTAATGTTGCGTTTTTTTTTTATATCCGCGTTTAATTTATTATAAATAATTAAAATACAACAATAGTATTATATATTGTTAGAAAGCTAATAAAATTGTCTACAAATCTATATATAACGTTTCATAACTTTTCAAACAAAATTAAATATGAAAAATCTTTGAAATTTAAATTTTTGTATTAAATTGTTTTGATTTGTTTTATTTATATTAAGCCATTTGTTTTCATTTGTTTTATATTTAGCGATATTCTGTTAAATTTCATTTTAATCCTTATATATTATTATATATCATTGACAAATAGATAAAATTATACATAAATCTGTATATAAAAATTTGTAACTATTGGAACAAAATTAATTCCTTGAACTTCGAAATTAAAATCTTCCTAAAGCTTCCTAAGTATTGTTTTTAATTCAACGTTTTATTTTATATTTAAATGTATTTTTTTTAAAATTCAATTAAATATATTAACATTATTACGCATTATTAGAAAGCTTATAAAACTATCTATAATTACATATATGAACATATAAAACTCTTAACATAAAATTTGGAAAATTTTGTTGCAATAATTAAAAAAAAAAAATGACCCAAAGAAATCAATTTGTTCTGAGAGTTTTAAATTGTTATATACAGATTTGTAGATAATTTTATTAGCTTTCTAATAATATATAACACTAATAATTTGAATAAATTTAAACAAAATAAATATAAATATATAACAAAAACAATGTGGGAGCCTCAGAATGATTTTAATTTCAAATTTTAACAGATTATTCTTAAATAATTTTGTTCCAACAGTTACAAATTGTTCTATACAGATTTATAAATAATTTTATCCATTTTTCAACAATATATAATAATATATAAGGAATAATGATATAGAAGGATTTAAATTTTACATATTTTTCATATTTAATTTTGTTCAAAAAGTTATAAAACGTTATATACAGATTTGTAGACAATTTTATAAGCTTTCCAACAACATATAACACTATTATTATATATTAAATATTTATAACAAAATACACGCGAATATAAAAAAAACTAACCTATGCAACATGAAACTAACCTATATTGACACACCATTTTAATGTCAAACTTAAAACAATTTTTCAAATATAATTTTGTTCCAAACTATTTAATTTGTTATATACAGATTTATAAATAATTTTATATATTTTTCAACGTTATATAATAATATATAAGGATGAGAAGGAATTTTAACAGAATATTGCTAAATATAAAAAAAACAACCAATGAAATCCACCATCAGATAATAACTGTACTAAAATTTAAATTATACATATATATATATATATATATATATATATAAATATATATATATATATATATATATTAAACTTACCATTGATCTTTTAATATATCCAAACATATCGCTCCAGTGACTGAAGATATATTCGGGTGCCAAATTTTAGTCACAAAACGGACCTAAAAATATATTAAAAAGTAATAAATATGACTGTATATTTTATATGAATAATTAATAAGTATATTTGAATCAATGAGACCTTACTTTTGGTGGATTAAAGGGATACGTTTCAGGAACTTTTATCTCAAGAATAAAGTTTCCACCTTCGTAAGGTGTATCCGGGGGCCCTGCAATTTCTCCACGTAATTCTGTCCAGCTGTCCCGTACTAATTCAACTTTTATTGCACATTTTGCAACCTGGAAAAAGAAATATAATTATTCATATGTAATTTTTTTATATTTTGATCAATTTCATAAAGTAAATTTTGGTAATTTTCTTCAATAATTTGTTTAAACATATATATATATATATATATATATATATATATATAAATATCATTTAAAAAATTGTTTAAATTTTGATTTTTAATACTGTCATTTCTGGGAACTAACATGTCAAGTTTTCTGGTTACATTTTTCTATAATTTTGATGGATTTCTTCAATAATTTGTTCAAACATGTATATACTATTATATATCATTGCAAAGCTAGTAAAATTATCTATAAATCTGTATATAACAATATAAAACTTCTGGATCAAAATATTATTTTAAAAATAGTCTAAATTTTAATATTTAATACTGTTATTTTTGTAAAGTTTTCTGGTTACATTTTTCTATAATTTTGATGGATTTCTTAAACAATTGATTCAAATTTGTATATATTATTATATATCATTATAAAGCTAATAAAATTGTCTATAAATCTGAATATAACGTTTTATAACTTTTCAAACAAAATTAAATAAAAAAAATTAGCAAAATTTTATATTTTAGTATCTAGTGATTAGCCAGTGGTTACATTTTTTATATTTAGCAAATTCTGTCCAAATTCGTGCTTATTCTTATATCATATAATATATCATTAGAAAGTTTATGAAAATACCTATAAATCTGTATATAACAATTTAAACCTGTTGGAACAAAATTATATAAAAATAGTTTGACAAACTTTTGCACCTAGCACTCTTCTATCTAGCTTCAACCCTCTAATTTATATTTATTTTATTTGTTAAAAAATTGACTATAAAATTTTAAGATCTAAACAATTTTTTAAATATAATTTTGTTCTAAAAGTCATAAATTGTTATATACAGATTTATAGATAATTCTATAAGCTTTTTAACTATATGTAATAGTTTATACACATTTAAAAAAATTATTTAAAAAATCGATCAAAATATAAAAAAATGTAACCAGGAAACATTTTCAGATAAAAGTCAAACATAAGACAAAAATAACGTCAGTATTTAAAGTTTAAACATTTTTTTACAATAATTTTGTTCCAAAAGTCATAAATTGTTATATACAGATTTGTAGATAATTCTATAAGCTTTTTAACTATATGTAATAGTTTATACACATTGAAACAAATTATTTGAAAAGTAGATCAAAATATAAAAAAAATGTAACCAGCAGGCATTTTCAAATAAAAGTCTGACTTCAAACATAAGACAAAGATGACGTCAGTATTTAAAGTTTAAACATTTTTTTTCAAAAATTTTGTTCCAAGGATTACAAATTGTAATATACAGATTTATAGATAATTTTATAAGCTTTCTAATGATATATCATAATATTAATGTGTTGGAACAATTATTAGCGCTATAAATATTAATATAAAAAAGTGTCCTTAGTGTTTGTATTTTGAACATAAACGTAACGGAATGTTTCATTAATGTTACTTTCTTGAAAATTTGCATAGTGACAAGTTTTATGCACTAAAAGAACAGACTAAAATAGTATATTTATCGAAATCAAATGGTAACTAGTAAAAAATTTGTAAAAAAATTGTACGAATCTCTTTTGATTTGTAAATACAATATTTGTCAAAGTTTTCTTCAAGACCTCTCAAATAATACTCCACATACATTTTAACAATAAAACAATATTTTTACCCGTTGAACTATTTATAGTATCCACATTAATACTAAATTAATTTATATATATTATCTAGTATGATTTAAATAAAATATTTGTCAAACTTTACTATATATATATATATATATATATATATATATATATTATTCTTATAATTTAGAATTAAAACTATTGATTTTATTTTATTTTTTAATTTTAATCAAAATCTAATCAGAACAATTTCTTTTAGTTTTATTGGTTGCACTGTTTCATATCCACCTATTTTTTATTATAATTATTCAAAATACAACAATAGTATAATATATTGTTAGAAAGCTAATAAAATTGTCTACAAATCTGCATAAAACGTTTTATAACTTTTCAAACAAAATAAAATATGAAAAATCTGTAAAGTTTAAATTTTAGTGTCAGTTATTAGCCACTTTTGAATTTCATCTGTTACACTTGTTTATAGTTACGCTTATAATAGTAAATTTTTTATACAACATGTATGTTATTATATATTGATAAAAAGCTAATAATATCATCTACAAATCTGTATATAACGTTTAATAACTTTTCTAACAAAATTATATTAAGAAAAATCTTTAAACTTTGAAATCGGAATGCCGTACCTACCAATATTGCATTAGTTTGATGTAGCAGTTTTTAATTTAGATTTAGATGTTAATTTTATTATAATTATTCAAAATATAACATTAGTGTTATATATTGTTAGAAAGCTAATAAAATTATCTACAAATCTGTATATAAAGTTTTATAACTTTTCTAACAAAAAACTATATGAAAAATCTGTAAAGTTTAAATTTTAGTATCTGATTATTTGTTCAGCGATGTTATGCAATACGTACTGATAATATTTAATTCCTGATTTTTTTATTAATAATTTTATTCCAACACATTCAAATCTAAAAATGCATATTTCTAGACAATTTAATCCTTGTATCAATATATAATAACGTATTAAAATTTAATCAAAAAAGTGTGATCAAGCGACTAAATACTTAATATTAAATTGCAAAGTTTAAGTATTTTTTGTCAAAAAATTTGTTCCAGAACTTTTACAATCATAAATACAGATTTATACATAATTTAATACAGATTTTAATGATATATAATAATGAATAATGCAAATTTATAAAATTGCATCCAAAAATCCATATATATATATATTTATATATATATATATATATATATATATATAAGTAATTATTATTATGTAAAATTTAAGTAATACCAATTTTATTATATATTGTTAGAAAGCTTATAAAATTGTCTACAAATCTATATATAACATTTTTAACAAAATTAAATGAGAAAAATTTGTAAAATTTAGTATCAAGTCATCAGCCATTAGTTATTCTGTTCAAATTCGTGTTTATTGTTATATAATATTATATATCATTAGAAAACTAATTAAATTATCTATAAATCTGTATATAACAATTTAAAACTGTTGGAACAAAAATATATAAAAATAATTCGTCAAACTTTGTACTTAAAATCTTCATAAAGCACCCATATTGTTTTAGCTTGAACGTTTGGATTTATATTTATATTTATCTTGTTTAAATTTAATTAAATTTATTAACATTATTATATATCATTAGAACGCTAATAAAATTATCTATGAATCTGTATATAACAATTTAAAACTGTCAGAACAAAATTATCGAGAAAAAATTATTAACTTTGAAATTAACGGGTATACCTATATACCAATGTTTGCCTGTAATTATAAGAATAGAATTGACGCACATCCAAACCAACTAGCATGCAACTTATACCAGGAAGGCCAGCCGACCAGGCTCAAAAGGAAAATACCTCGAGATTTATTATAGTTTATTTTTATATTTATATTTTTTTTTCTCTATACTTGTCTTTAGTTTTTTCTTTTTTATATATTAACTATAGTAGATACACCACTGGGCGTATGTGCTAATTTGTAAACAACCAATTGTAAACACTTGTCAGCATTCTCTGCTAAATATAATTATTTTTATAGATTGCAGAATAAAAATAAAATAAAAAAAAAAAAAAAAAAACTTTGAAATTAAAATCTTTGTAAGGCGACCACATTATTTTACCTGCAACGTTTTTGTTTATTTAGTTTAAATAAAATTAAATTAATTATAGGTAGTATATATCATTAGAAAGATAATTAAATTATCTATAAATCTGTATATAACAATTTGTAACTTTTAGAACAAAATTGTGGGAAAAAATAATAAACATTGAATTGGCAGAATTTAGTTTGTAAAGTGAGACACCCTTCAGTGTATTTCATATATATATATATATATATATATATATATATATATAATGATTATTATATAGTCGACTTCAAAACTAAGTCGATTACATATAAAATTTACTTTATATCATGCTTACTCATAATTTACAACTAATAATGCTTTAAGCAAATGAATTGCATTGAAAAGTATATATATATATATATATATATATATATATATATATATATATATATATCAAATCTTACACCCAGTCGATAACTATCTAATTATCAAATACAACCTCAAACTTGCTATATTTCTTTTATTTCCATATTTCTAAGTCCAAGTAGTTTGTGCTTCAATGCTACATGTCATTTAATATGTTTATAAAACGAAATCTTGATAAGAGATTTGCTAAGATACAACAAACAGCATTGCTAACCTCTCGCTTAGAAGAGGTCAGCAAATAATTAATCAAAACTGCATCAAATAGAGTTGCATTAACTGTCATTGTAATGTGCTTGTGAATTTTAACTTGAATTTGGTTCAAATTTGATAATGGATAACCAAAATGAGGATGATACAAGTAAGTGATCATTCAAGAATTGTGCAAAATCATTCACCCAAAAATAGACACAACACAAGGTCTTTGTATAAGTTATAGTTATAAAATGTATTACAAGTATTATTATTTATGATTATTACTATGGTTACCTCTTCGCTTTTGATTACTTCTTTGAATTCCCTCTTAATTCTCTGCGTTGCAATATTAGCCATTGTACAAGAAGTTTTCGATATTTACATCTAATTTTATGATTGAACTAGTATCTATCGAATCATAACATAACACTCGATTGTATTCTAATTGTTCGATTCGTTTTCGATGGTTTTAAATTTAAAATATTTGCGATTTTACACGAAATGCCTTTTAATATAAAACTGGCTGTTGTCTCAGCTACGAACAAGTGAACTGTCATCTGACATTTTATGCATGGCGACGGTGGCGACGGATTTGGCGCGAGATTTGAATTTGAAATTGAATTTGAAAATGGCGGGAAAGGTTGACAATTTGAATTTGTTTAGATGTTTAGGTGACACATTTGGTGTTTGGTTTTGTTTATGAATATGTTCATTACCATAATATATTATGGTAATGGGATAAAAAGTATTGAAAGAGTATTTAAAGGAATTTATTATATTGAATCAAAGAAATTTATTATATTTATTTATTAACTTCCCGTAGGGTAAGTTATTGTAATGGGCCGAAAATCGGAATTGAAAATTTTTACATTTCTCGACGTTTTGAAGGTTTCTGAACGTTTTGGCATACCTCAGAAAAAATGGATGTGTGTGTGTGTGTGTGTGTGTGTATGTATGGATACAAATTTCCAGTCACGTTTTAGGGCGTACGGATCAACCGATTTGAATGGTTCAAAAAACATTCGATTCCTATTGATAGGGAAAAGAGCTGATTAGTTTTTGGCAAAGGCAGGTCCAGCCGTTTCGGAGATACGGAGCAAAGAGTGCAGAAAATAGAAATCGAATTTTTGAGAGAACGAAGTATCCGATTTGAATCATCTAAAAAACATTCAATTAGTAATGATTGGGAGAAGTGTTTATTAGTTTTTGGCAAAGGCAGGCCGAACTATTTTGAAGATACGGAGCTAAATATGTAAAAAATGGCAGTTTTTGAGAGAACTAAGCGTCCGATTTAAATGATTCAAAGAACTTTCTGCTTGTCTTAACAAAATAATTGATTTTGGAAAAAAAATTTGTTCCAACTTTTTTTTTTTTTTTTTTAGTTTTTTGTATATCGAAAATATTTCAGATGTTATTTTTAATTCTGACTATAGTTCTAATATACTTTACAAATAATTTCAACTCTGCAATTCAGTTTATATAATTCTTATAAATATTAGATAATGTTACAATATTCATAATAAACTATTTGAAAACATACAGTATTCCTCGAGCATTTCGTTACGGTACGGGAAGTTCCAGCAATTTGCCTTAAGGCACGATGCCACCCACCCCACTAGTTATTTATTTATTTAACGCTCAGGGCAATAATGTATATTGTTAAAGTTATTATTGTCAAAACACATAATTTTTTGAGTGAGAGATTATGAAAACAGTTTTCATATTTTATATATACATTTCATTTGACTATTTCATTAATATAATATCTATTATAATTAAAATATCTTTATATTTAATTTCATTTTAAAGTGCACAAATTATAAACTAAAGATAATATATAAGAAAAATAGAGTATTTACATTGTATCAATAATATTTAGGTATTTAGTACATTATTTAGTTAGACATAATTTTTGTAAATTAGGACGATTGTAGATAGGTATATTTTTTAAAATTTTGATAAATTTTTCAAATAATTTGTTTCAACATGTATATTTTGTTATATATCATTAGAAATCTGATAAAATTATCTTCAAATTCATATATAACAATTTAAAATGTTTAGAACAAAATCTTTTAAAAAGTATGTTTAAATTTTCTGAATGTTTGATATCTTAAGATGTCGGGTTCTTTAGTTACATTTTAGTAACTAAATATTAAAATAGTTTTTTTTATATTTGGGTCGTTCTTTTAAATAAATTGTTCAAGTGTATACATATTATTATATATCGTTAAAAAGTTAATATAATTATCTATAAATTTGTATATTACAATTTAAAACGTTTGGTACAAAATATTATTAAAAAAATGTTTAAATTTTCTGAATGTTCGATATCTTACGATGTAGGGTTTCTTCAGTCACATTTTTTTTCATATTTGGGTCGATTTTTTAAATAATTTGTTCAAATGTGTGTATATTATTATATATTGTTATAAAGCTAATAAAATTATATATAAATCTGTATATTACAATTTAAAACGTTTGGAACAAAATTATTGTAGAAAATATATGTAAATGTTAAAATTGAATACTGAGTCGTTAGATATCATTTTTAAAAATTAGCATGTGATTTTTTCATTGGTTTTTTGAACAATTTGTTTTAACAAGTATATTTTGTTATATATCATTAAAAAGCTAATAAAATTGTCTATAAATCTGTATATTACAATTTAAAACGTTTGGTACAAAATATTATTAAAAAAATATTTAAATTTTCTGAATATTCGATATCTCAAGATGTAAGGTTTCTTCAGTCACATTTTTTTTATATTTGGGTCGTTTTTTTAAATAATTTGTTCAAACATGTATATTTTGTTATATATCATCAAAAAGCTAATTAAATTGTCTATAAATCCATATATAACAATTTAAAATGTTTAGAACAAAATCTTTTAAAAAGTATGTTTAAATTTTCTGAATGTTTGATATCTTAAGATGTAGGGTTTCTTATTCAGTCACATTTTTTTTACATTTGGGTCGTTTTTTTAAATAATTTGTTCAAATGTGTGTATATATATATCATTAGAAAGCTGATAAAATTATCTTTAAATGTGTATACTACAATTTGAAACGTTTGGTACAAAATATTATTAAAAAAATGTTTAAATTTTCTGAATGGTCGATATATCTTACGATGTAGGGTATCTTCAGTCACATTTTTTTTATATTTGGGTTAATTTAAAAGTGTATATATTATTATATGTCATTAAAAAGCTAATAAAATTACCCGTAAATCTGTATAATACAATTGAAATTATTTGAAACAAAATTATATTGAGATAAATCTTTAAAATTGAAGTTTATTTTCGTAAACCAATATTTTGATTTTGGTTACACTTTTTTACTTTTTGATCAATTTTTTAAATAATTTGTTCAAACGTGTATATATTATTACATATCGTTAGAAAAAGCCAATAAAATTGTCTATATATCTGTATATAACAATTTATAATCTTTGTAACAAAATATTATTAAAAAAATTGAATAAAATACCGAATTAAAACGTTATTTTTTAACATTTTTTATATGTTGATAGTTTTTCTAAATAATTTGTTCCAACATATTAATATTATTATATATCATTAGAAAGACTTATGAAATTATCTATAAATCTACATATTAAAATTCAAAATCTTTAAAACAAAATATTATTTAAAAAATTGACTAAATTTTGATATTTAATACTGTAGTTTTTGAAAATTAATTTGACAAGTTTTCTGGTTATATTATTTTAGTTTTTGGTAGTTTTTTTTAATAAATTGTTTAAACATGTCTATATTAATATATATCGTTAAAAAGCTAATAAAATTGTCTATTAATCTGTATATAACAATTTAAAACCTTGGGAACAAAATAATTGAAAAAAAGTTGAAACGTTATTTTTTGGTTACGTTATTTTAGTATTTGATAGTTTTTTTAAATAATTTGTTCCAACATATTAATATTATTATTATTATTATTATTATTATTATATCATTAGAAAACTTATAAAATTATCTATGAATCTGCATATTAAAATTTAAAACTTTTAAAACAAAATATTATTTAAAAAATTGACTAAATTTTGATATTTAATACCGTAATTTTTGAAAATTAATATGACAAGTTTTCTGGTTGCATTATTTTAGTTTTTTGGTAGTTTTTTTCATTAATTTGTTCAAACCTGTATATACTATTCTACACCATTACAAAGCTAATAAAATTATCTATAAATCAGTATATGATGATTTAAATTGTTTAGAACAAAATATAATTAAAAAAAAATTTAAATCTTAGAATTGAATGTCATTTTTATATACTAAGATGTCGGATTCATTCACATTTTGACCAATTTTAAAAATATTTTTTTAGATATGTATACATCATTATATACTACTAAAAAGCTAATAAAATTATCTATAAATCTGTATATATAAATTGAAAACTCTTAGAATAAAATTGTCTAGGAAAAATTGTTTAAACTTTGAAAAACTTAAATTTTATAAATTGAGACATCGAGTTTTTCTTGTCAACATTTTTAAATTTAATTATAGTATTTTATTATTATATACTAAGTAGATATTTTGGTTAACACACAAATATTTCTTAGATTCCATGTCAAACGATTCAGAATGACTTGAAACATCCAAGAGAAATCATAAAATAAGCAAATCGGATTTTTTAATGAAAACGTTTCTGTTACAAACTATTTCTGTTGAAAAATGATAATTTAGAATTAGTTCAGTTTATAAATATTACAGTAATGAAATACATAGTATTTAATTACATCAATAAGACATTGTTGTAACCTTAGACATTTCATTTGCATAAACTGATGTATGGAAATTTCTTGAGAATTGGAAGTTTAGCCATTTTTTCGTAGATAATTTTGTTCTGAGAGTTATAAATTGTTATATACAGATTTATAGACATTCTTATTAGCTTTTCAATGATATACAATATTCTGTACACGTTTGAATAAATTATTTCAAAAACTGACCAAAATATAAAAAAATCACCTACAAAACTGGGTATATTCGTTCTCAAAAACGGCAGTATTAAATAAACAAAATTAAACATATTTTTAAATATAATTTTGTTCTAAACATTAAAAATTGTTATATGCGGACTTATAGATAATTTTATTAGCTTTTTAATGATATATAATAATATATATACAAATGAACAAATTATTCAAAAAAGGCGGCCAAAATATAAAAAATGTACTTAGAAAACTCGATATATTAGTTAAAAAATGACAGTATTAAATAATAAAATTTAAACATTTTTTTCAGCATAATTTTGTTCTAAACATTAAAAATTTTTATATACATACTTATTGATAATTTTATTAGCTTATTAATGATATATAATAATATATACACTTTTGAACAAATTATTTTCAAAAATGACAAAATCTAAAAAATGTACCCAGAAAATTCGAGATGTTAGTTCCCAAAAAATAATAAAATTCAAACATTTTTTTAAATATAATTTTGTTCTACATCTCAAAAATTGTTATATACAGATTTATTGATAATGTTATTAGCTTCTCAACGATATATAATAATGTATACATCTCTAAACAAATTATTAACAAAATTGATCAAAATATAAAAAAAATTATTAGAAAACTTTCATAATTTAATTATTAATTCAAAAGTAAACTGTGTTTACCTAGACAATTTTGTTCTAAGAGTTTTAAATTGTTTGGTACAAATTTATAAATAATTTTATTAACTTTTTAATGATATATAATAATATATACATCTTTAGACAAATTATTCAAGAAAATAACCAAAATATAAACTAGTGGGGTGGGTGGCATAGTGCCTTAAGGCAAATTGCTGGAACTTCCCGTACCGCAACGAAATGTTCGAGGAATATTGAATGTTTTCAAATAGATTATTATAAATATTGTAATATTGTCTAATATTTATAAGAATTGGATAAACTGAATTGCAGAGTTGAAATTATTTGTTTAAAGTATATTAGAACAATAGTCAGAATTAAAAATGAAATCAGAATTATTTTCGATATACAAAAATTAAAAAAAAAAAAAAAAAAATGAAACAAATTTTGTTTTTCCAAAATTAATTATTTTGTTAAGACAAGCAGAAAGTTCTTTGAATCAATTGAATCTGACGCTTAGTTCTCTCAAAAACTGCCATTTTTTGTACATTTGGCTATGTATCTCCGAAATGGCTGCGCCTACCTTTGCGAAAAACTAATAACCCCTTCTCCCAATCATTACTAATAAATGTTTTTTAGATTATTCAAATCGGATGCTCCGTTCTCTCAAAAACTCGATTTCTATTTTCTGCACTCTTTGCTCATTATCTCCGTACCTGCTGGACCTGCCTCTTCCAAAAACTAATCAGCACATCTCCTTATCAATAGGAATCGAATGTTTTTTAAACCATTCAAATCGGTTAATCCGTACGCCCGAAAACGTGACTGGAAATTTGTATCCATACATACATACACACACACACACATCCATTTTTTCTGAAGTATGCCAAAATGTTCAGAAACCTTCAAAACGTCGAGAAATGTAAAAATTTTCAATTCCGATTTTCGGCCCATTACAATAACTTACCCTACGGGAAGTTAAAAAATGTTACCAAAAATCTTTCATAATTTAGTTAATAATTAATAAAGTTAACTATATTTTTCTAAACAATTTTAATCGAAGGATTTTGAATCGTTAAGTACAGACTTATAGATAATTTTATTAACTTTTTAATGATATATATTAATGTATACATCTCTAAACAAATTATTAACAAAATGTGAAAAAATTTAACCGACATCCTTAGTTTACAAAAATGACTTCCAATTTTAAAATAGCCCTTAGGACTTTCATTGTGCATGTCCTTATCACAATTCTTACTAAACACCACTTACACCTAGTAATTATTAACCTTACTTACTCCTAGTAGTTATGCTCATATTACTGTTATAAATAAAATAATAGCAAAATTTTATTTCAAAATATAATATTTGTCACAAAGTACTTTTTAAATTTACCGGGTTGACGCCATCTTGACGCATACAAAAATATCGATACTTGCACTTGCAACTTAAACTTTATTTCCCAACAACGTGTTTATATTCGACGTAAAAACGTTTAAACAATTAAAAACACAACTAAAAACAATATTAATAATAATTTATACAAATATAACAACAAATATTTATTATTCATTTATTACTATATCGATATTTCCACCTCCCAAACCAGCCGCCATTATCAATTGACAGTTCTAACTCGCGCTCTGATTGGTCGCATTACCAAACTACGTCTATGTCTGCCGTCGCCGTCATGTCGCCGTCTCTCTCATCAAATTTTTCTTTAAACTAGTGATGCCCGTGTTATCTGGTTGTGAGCCGATTCGTGCAAAGAGTTTGTTAAGAGCAAACTTAGAGAAAGGTAGTGTCTTCATCCAGAGCAGAATGCCTAACATAAAAGTCTTCAGCGGGTCATCTCATGTCGACCTGGCCCAGAGGATTGTGGACAGACTCGGCATCGATTTGGGCAAAGTGGTCACGAAGAAATTCAGCAACTTGGAAACATGGTAAGAGGATACATTATACATGGCTTAAAATTATATATCTATATCATGTACAAGTGTTTGTATAAGTTGGTAATGCGATTTTGTGACTTTTTACCCCACGTGATGTGTGCGTAAACAATCGTGTTTTACTTGATTTAACAATATTTGAACCTTTAAATGGCTACAGGTTGTTATTACAACGGTTTCTGCATAATTTCTGTGTTTTTAAATGGTGTTTTAGTGTTTATTTCACGCGAAGCTTCAACATAACCTCAAAGTCTTGTCAATGGCGCGTTTATCCTTGGACTTTTTTTACAAACTAGATAATTGCTTTTGTAGGCCTATAGTGTTGTGTTCAAGGTCGATAGATCTTGATATAGGAATAAATTATTATTCGTCTTAGAAAAATATGTTTTGTATGTGGTATAAGTTTAAAATTATATGCTTGATTTCAATTGTGCAAAATTAATTTGTAAACAACGTTATTTAATATTATTTTGCTCTAAAGCAACTGGGTGTACTTTAAAATTTAAAGTACTAAATTAATCCCTTATTTAAATTCCTGCAAAAACTTTTAAGTGAATTCCTGAAGTACATTTTTTCCTTTTATTGTTTATAACTTCCAAACCGTTCTCTTAATATGAATGATGTATTCAGAAAATTTGTGCAAAATTAAATTATAAACAATATTGTCTAATATTATAACAGTCTACAGTAACTCTGTATAGTAATAAATGAGAAATATAATTAGAAACGACACTTACACCTAGCCTTCATTGACATTGTACATAGTACAAGAATTCATTTAGTGTTCATTCATTTATTAAATCTCTTGGAACTTTCAAACTGTTCCTTTAATATGAATGATGTATTTAGGAAATGTGTTCAGAATTAAATTGTAAACAATATTGTCTAATATTTTAACAGTCTGCAATGACGCGGTATAGTAAAAAATGCGAAATATAATTAGAAACGACACTTACACCTAGCCTTCATTGACGTTGTATATTGTACGAGAATTAATTTATTAAAACTCTTGTAACTTTCAAACGGTTCCTTTAATATGAATGATGTATTTAGGAAATGTGTTCAAAATTAAATTATAAACAATCTTGTCTAATATTATAACAGTCTACAGCAACTCGGTTTAATAATAAATGATAAAAAATATAATTAGAAACGACACTTAGACCTAGCCTTCATTGACATTGTACATAGTACCAGAATTCATTTAGTGTGCATTTATTTATTAAATCTCTTGTAACTTCTAAACCGTTTCTTTAATATGAATGATGTATTTAGGAAATTTGTTCAAAATTAAATTATTTGTTCAAAATTATAAACAATATTGTCTTATATTATAATGCCTTACAGCAACTCGGATTAGTAATAAATGAGAAATATAATAAATTACACGTACACCTAGCCTTCATTGACTTTGTACACAGTATGAGAATTCATTTAGTGTGCATTTATTTATTAAATCTTGTAACTTCTAAACCGTTTCTTTAATATGAATGATGTATTTAGGAAATTTGTGCAAAATTAAATTATAAACAATATTGTCTAATATTATTATGCTCTACAGCACCTCGGTATACTCTAAATTCATATTAAATGTACAACTTTGTTTCCGCCCTTATTGTAAAGAACTTGTATTGTAAAAACGGCGGCGGAAAGTTGTATAAATAATTTTGTTTGTTTTTGTTTTGATGCTTGTAACTTCCAAACCATTCGATTATTATGAATGATGTCTGAGGCAAATTTATGCGTAATTAAATTATAAACAATATTGTCTAATATCATTTTGCTCTACAGCAACTCGGTATACTTCAAAATCCAAATAAAAAACACATTCATGACATTTTTCGACTACTATCTTTCACATTTCTAATTTGCTCGTCAGTAGAGTCCCTTTGCTTTAAATTTTTCCTATTTTTTTCGCAGGTTTAATTTGTATCAAAACCTAAACACTTCAACATTGCATTTATTTCTTATATTTTTAATAAATCTTGAACCATTTGTTTAATATGAATGATGCCTGAGGCAAATTTATGCGATATTAAATTATAAACAATATTGTCTAATATTATTTTGCTCTAAAGCAACTCGATATACTTTAAATTAAAAATACAAAATTATGACATTTTTAACTAATATCTTTGATTTGCTCGTCAATAGAGTTCTTTCTTTCATATTTCTTTAATTTTAATGTAATTTATCAAATTTAATTTGCTGGTCAGTAGAGTCCCTTTTTTCATGATATCATCTTACTCGTTAGTAGAGTCCTCTTTCCATGATATTTCATTAATTTAGTTTATCGAATTTAAATTGCTTGTCAATGGAGTCCTTTTTCCATAATTAATTAATTTTAATATAATTTATTGAGTTTAATTGGCTCGTCAGTCTTTCTCTCTATTTTATCATGCTCGTCAGTAGGATCTTTTTTTTATAATATTTCAATAATTTTAATTTAATTTATTGAATTTAATTTGCTCGTCAGTAGAGCTCTTTATCCTATATTTTATTAATTTAAGTTTAATTTTTCAAGTTCAATTTGCTGGCCAGTAGAGTTTTTTTCTCCATTTTATCGTGCTCGTCAGTAGAGTCCGTTTTCCATAATATTTAATTTTAACTTAGGGGGGCCGTTCAAGTATTACGTAAGCACTATAGGAGGGAAGGGGGGTTATTGATTTGCTTATTTTGTGTAAGAAATTTGCTTACTTTTGCTGGCAAAGGGGAGGGGGGGGTAAATAATTGAAAATTTATTTCAATTATTTACCCCCCCCCGCTTACGTAATACTTGAACGATCCCTTAATATATGGAATTCAAATTCCATCTTGTTTGTCAGTAGAGTCCTTTTTTTCATAATATTTCATTAATTTTAAATTAATTTATTACATTCAATTTGCTGGTCAGTAGAGTCTTTTTTTTCTCATTTTCAACTTGCTCGTCAGTAGAGTCCTTTTTCAATTTACCGGTTAGTAGTTTTTCTCTATTTTACCTTGTTCGTCAGTAGCGTCCTTTATTCAAAATTAATTAATTTTGATTTAATTAACTTCCCGTAGGGCAAGTTATAGTAATCGCAAAAAAATCGAAAATGAAAATTTTTGCATTTCTCGACGTTTCAAAACCTTCTGAACATTTTGGCATACCTTAGAAAAAATGGATGTATGTGTGTGTGTGTGTGTGTGTGTGTGTGTGTGTGTATGTATGTATGTATGTATGTATGTATGTATGTATGTGTGTGTATGTATGTGCGGATACAAATTTTCGTCGACGATTTCGGGAACACGGATCAACCGATTTGAATAATTCAAAAAACATTCGATTTGTATTGATAAGGAGACGTGCTGATTAGTTTTTGGCAAAGGCAGGTCTAGCCGTTCCGAAGATACGGGGCAAAAAGTGCCAAGAACGGTACCTCCGTTTTTAAGAGAACGGAGCGTCCGATTTGAATAATTCAAAAAACATTTTACTTGTATTGACAAGATATAGAATTGATCAAATTTTCATGGAGGCAGGTCTAGCGGTTTCGGAGATCTAATGAAAAAAGTAAAAAATAATGCCATTCGGCGGTTAAAAATTATCATTAGACATATGCACATCAAATTATCAGATATTTTATAGAGATTTTAACAATAAGTATATTTTTTTTTACATTTTTATGGGTTCCGTACCAATGCTTATGCGTTAGACGGCGGCGCGGCACATGCGCGCTTTGACATTTCGTCTCTATGCAGTTCAAGCAGTGCGATTGCTTTAAAAAAAGTTCAGATTTTCCGTCAAAATGAAGAAAACATTTTTTTCAAAAAAATTTTTTGTATCCAAAAAAAAATTTTTTTTTCAAAAATTTTTTTTTCAAAAAAAATTTTTTTTTTTCATATAAATTTTTTTTTTCAAAAAAAAGTAATTTTTTGTCAAATTTGTAGTTTCTCAAAAATGTTAATCGTTTTTAAAAAAATAATAATTTTTGGTACGGGAAGTTCCAGCAATTTGCCTTAAGGCACGATGCCCTAATTGCCTTAAGACAGAATTCCACTTACAGCTAGTTTATGAAGTTCAATTTGCTCGTCAGTAGAGTCCCTTTTCCGTAATATTTCATTAATAGTTTTCTCAAATTTAATTTGCTCGTCAGTAGAGTCCCGCTTTGTAAAAGATCTATAATGTTTACAAATATTTTACGTTTTTCGTCAGTAATGTTTCTTTTTCATGTCAGTAGAACTAAAAATTCACCTGATCTTTGGTGGAGAAGGAGGTTAGTCCAAAAATCTTTAAAAAATCGTTCACGTGATTAATGTACGCCCTTTAAGTTACTAATAATCAACTCTTATCGATTGTTTACACTTTTGGCAACCTGCCTTAAGTCTTAAGCCACTTACACCTCGTCTTCAACATTTTTAACTTCCCGTAGGGCAAGTTATAGTAATCGCAAAAAAATCGAAAATGAAAATTTTTATATATCTTTACGTTTCAGAGGTTTCTGAACATTTTGGCATACCTTAGAAAAAATGGATGTATGTGTGTGTGTGTGTGTGTATGTACGTGTGTGTATGTATGTGCGGATACAAATTTTCGTCGACGATTTCGGGAACACGAATGAAACGATTTGGATAATTCAAAAAACATTCGATTCGTATTGATAAGGAGACGTGCTGATTAGTTTTTGGCGAAGGCAGGTCCAGCCGTTCCGAAGATACGGGGCAAAAAGTGGCGAAAACGTAACTCAGTTTTTAAGAGAACGGAGCGTCCTATTTGAATAATTCAAAAAACATTTCACTTGTATTGACAAGATGAAATATCGATAAAATCTTCATGAAGGTAGGTCTAGCGGTTTCGGAGATATGGAGGAAAAAGTAAAAAAATGAGCCATTTGGCGGTCAAAAATGATCATTAGACATATGCACATCAAATTATCAGATATTTTATAGAGATTCTAACAATAAGTATACATTTTGTTTACATTCCTATGGGTTCCGTACCAATGCTTATCCATTAGACGGCGACGCGGTGCTTAAGCGCTTTAACATATCGTCTCTATGCAGTTAAAGCAGTACGATTGTTTTGAAAAAAAGTTCAGATCTTCCGCAATATGTCAAAATAAAGAAAAAAAAATTTTTTTTTAAAAAATTTTTTTTCAAAAAAAAGTAATTTTTTGTCGAATTTATAGTTTCTCAAAAATCTTATTTTTTCAAAGTAATTTTTTTTCAAAAGTGTTAATCGTTTTTAAAAAAATAATAATTTTTGGTACGGGAAGATCCAGCAATTTGCCTTAAGGCACGATGCCCTAATTGCCTTAAGACACAATTCCACTTACAGCTAGCTTTTAAATTTATCGTCATCATTGGTCATCTTAATTTCGTTTGGCAACTCGTTATATATTTTGCTAGCACTCCATATGACATTTTCTCTCAAATTCTTCTTTCTATTGTGTTCAATGTGAAAATTGCTGTCTAGTGTAGTGTTCGTGTATATCTTGATTTATGTCTATTGTTGCACTTGTTTTAATTCGGTTAAATTTTATTTTGTGTATTAATTTGCATTTCTCTATTTTAATTATGTTATTTAGTGAATGATTATTTGTTTCTCTCTGTAAGTATTTGGTGGGGATTAGATTGGAAAATTATATGCTATTTTAGTGGCTTTATTCATTATTCTCTGTATGTCATTTAAGTTAGCTATAGTTGTTCGGCTCCATGTTGTTATTCCATGTGAATTCGAAATGAAATGACGATTGTTAATGTTCTTGAGATAAATTGATTTATTTATGATTTACATTTGATTTGCTCATTGTCAGATATAACGAAAGATAGCAAAAATAATGAAAGCTACAGTATTTGTGTAATAATATATTAGAAAAAACTTAATATTTCTCGAATATTTCATTACGGTACGGGAAGTTCTAGCAATTTGCCTCTTGGCACGATGCCATACACCAATAGTTATTTACACTTCTGGCAACCTGCCTCAAGACAAAAAATCACCACTTACACCTAGTTTTTAACTTCCCGTAGGGTAAGTTATAGTAATCGCAAAAAAATCGAAAATGAAAATTTTTATATATCTTTACGTTTCAGAGGTTTCTGAACATTTTGGCATACCTTAGAAAAAATGGATGTATGTGTGTGTGTGTGTGTATGTGTGTGTGTGTGTGTGTGTGTGTGTATGTATGTGTGTGTATGTATGTGCGGATACAAATTTTCGTCGACGATTTCGGGAACACGGATCAACCGATTTGAATAATTCAAAAAACATTCGATCCGTATAGATAAGGAGACGTGCTGATTAGTTTTTGGTAAAGGCAGGTCAAGCCGTTCCGAAGATACGGGGCAAAAAGTTCCGAAAACGGTAACTCAGTTTTTAAGAGAACGGAGCGTCCGATTTGCATAATTCAAAAAACATTTTATTTGTATTGACAAGATGAAGAATCGATAAAATTTTCATGAAGGTAGGTCTAGCGGTTTCGGAGATATGGAGGAAAAAGTAAAAAAATGAGCCATTTGGCGGTCAAAAATGATCATTAGACATATGCACATCAAATTATCAGATATTTTATAGAGATTTTAACAATAAGTATACATTTTGTTAACATTCCTATGGGTTCCGTACCAATGCTTATGCGTTAGACAGCGACGCGGCGCTTACGCGCTTTATATTTTGTCCCTATGTAGTTAAAGCAGTACGATTGCTTTGAAAAAAAAGTTCAGATCTTCCACAATATGTCAAAATAAAGAAAAAATTTTTTTTTTCAAAGAAAAAAATTTTTTTTAAAAAAAAATTTTTTTTAAAAATTTTTTTTTTTCTCAAAGAAACTAATTTTTTGTCCAATTTATAGTTTCTCAAAAATCTTATTTTTTCGAAGTAAATTTTTTTCAAAAATGTTAATCGTTTTTAAAAAAAATAATAATTTTTGGTACGGTAAGTTCCAGCAATTTGCCTTAAGGCACGATGCCCTAATTGCCTTAAGACAAAATCACCACTTACACCTAGTCTTTAACATTTTCTATGTCATTTACCCCCCAGTGTCGAGATCGGAGAATCCGTTCGCGGCGAAGACGTCTACATCGTGCAGAGCGGCAGCGGCGAGATCAACGACAACCTGATGGAGCTCCTCATCATGATAAACGCCTGCAAAATAGCGTCGGCTTCGCGAGTGACGGCCGTCATACCGTGCTTTCCCTACGCTAGGCAAGATAAAAAGGATAAGGTTAGTGCGGTGCGTTGCATTTCTTTTAGATATTGATTTATTTATTTGCTTCGATATTTGAAAAGGGAAACGAGTCAATTTGGTCGATAGACGATAATGATGTAAGGGATCGTTCAAGTATTACGTAAGCAGATTTATTACAATTATTTACCTCCTATCCCCCTTGTCAGCAAAAGTAGGCAAAGCTGTCACCCAAAATAAGCAAATCAATCACCCCTCCCCCCCGCCTCCCTATAGTGCTTACGTAAAACTTGAACGGCCCCTAATCATAAGGATTAATTAATAGTACATACATATTTAATCAACTAGTTGGTATTGGTATTTTGCCTTGAGGCAAGTTACATGAGCTTTTCGATATGTGTAGATAATCGATTTAATCAATAAAAAATAAATTAATTTATGAGTGATTATAAGTATTCCGAGTGAATTTATTACACATCATTGAAAACGAACGAACACGTTAACTCTCCGAGTATTTTCAGAAGAGCAAATTTTCAAAAATCAACCATTTTTATAATTGAACCAGTTTCCGTAGGACTTTAATGGTTTAGTATGTTCATTAAGACCAAGTACTCTATCGTTATACCAAGTAAATCGTCTGATTTTAATTATAACAAACGTTAAACTTTGATGAATTTTTAAAATTAAACTACATGTCGTAAGACCGTAATATTTCAGTAAGTTCTATAAGACCATTATATAAATCGGCTTAATTTTTTTTAACTTCCCAAAGGAGAAGTTTGTTTTCATCAAAAAATCCGATTCGCTAATTTTATGTTTTCTCGACGTTTCAAGCCATTCTGAATCGAATGAGACCAAATTTGGAAAAAGTATTTGTGTGTGTGTATGTGCGTGTGCATCAACAAATTTTTTGCCGTAAATAGCCGTTTTCTCAATAACGGCTGGACCGATTTCAAAAATTTAAAAGCCATTCGATGTATCTCGATGAGGTCTATTGTTTGTGAGTTTTGTGCGACGATCGGCCAAGCCGTTTCTTCGTAAATAGCAGAAAAGTGGAAAGTAAAAAGTTTTTCGTCCACGTTTTTGCCCGCAATTCTGAATCGATTTTGAAAATTCGAAAATCGTTCGAAAGATATTGGTTGGGAATCGACCTGATTAGTTTTTGGTAGAGATCGGCCGGGTCGTTTTCTTGTAATAAGGTGTTAAAAAAAAATTTTCGTCGATTTTTATTATTTTTTTGACGGTAGATACCATAGTTTTCTAGGTAATACTAAAATATTACGGCCCTACGACAACTCGTTCAGCTTTAAAAATTCGTCAAAGTTTGCAAAAATTAGTATGGTCTTTTTGGCATTTGTCAAAATTATAACTTTCATCGACGTTTGCTCAAAAACGCCTGAACCGATTTCAGAAATTTAAAAACCATTTGATGTATCTCGATGAGGATTATCGTTTTTCAGCTTTGTGCGACGATGGGCCGAGCCGTTTCTTTGTAATTTGGAAAAAAGTGTTAAACCTTTCGTCCACATTTAAGCTCAAACTACGGAATCGATATAAAAATTTACAAGTCGATTTCCAATCAATATCTTTCGAATTTTCAAAATCGATTTAGAATTGCGAGCTAAAACGTGAACGAATTTTTTTTCTCCTTTTCTGCGATTTAAAAAGAAACGGGTCGACCGATCGTCGCACAAAACTCAAAACCCTAGTCTCATCGAGATACATCGAATGGCTTTTAAATTTTTGAAATCGGTCCAGCCGTTTTTGAGAAAACGTCGATTTACGGCAAAAAATCTGTTCACACACACACACACATACATTTTCCAAATTTAGTCTCATTTGATTCAGAATGGCTTGAAACGTCCAGGAGAAAACAAAACAGTCCAACAAAAAAATTAGCGAATCGGATTTTTTGATAAAAACATAAACTTCTCCTTCGGGAAATTGAAAATATATTGAAAAGAAGGGACTCTACTGACATGCAAATTAATGTTAACAAATATATTTACAAAACTGGCTTGAAATAAACATCGCGATTTGGTTCTGTTTTATTAAACGGAAGAAATTTTACATAATATGTAAATTGTTTTTTGCCCTTTTGGGGCGTCCCTTGATCACGTGATCGATTTTTTAAGGATTTTTGGACCTTATACTCCCATTTTGTGATTGGTGGTGATATTTAAAATCACTTCCCACTCTCTTTCTCTTCCAACATCACCCGAATTTTTAGTACCTGAACGTGAAATTTCCTTTTTTTTAAATTATATTTTTTTTAGTTCAGGTAAAAAATATACGTGATATCTTACTAGACCTCCCCACGTGATTTTTTGTCGAACCTTTCCATCCCTTAAGTTTCACGTAATTAATGTACCACCTCAAAATGACATTTATTATTTTGAAATTAATTTAAATTTGAATTGTTATTGAAAATATTTGATTTCATATTTGTTTGAATGAATGAATTTCATTCATTAAATATTTTATTATTAATATATTACTTTATTTTGATCATAAATATAAATTCGATCAACTTGTTATCAATCATGAATATTAGTTTTGGAATTTTATCTACTAAAACTCGAATATTTACTATAAATAACATAAAACTAATTCGACTTTCGGTGTTTCTTACGTGGGTACGAATGTCGCCTATAGGCGACATCAAGTGCGTCGACTTTTGTTTAAATATTTTGCCACTCTGAGTTAAATTATTCAAAATTTTAATTTATTATGGATGTTTTTAGTGTAAATTTTGATTCAGCCCTCTTTTCTTCTTATGCTAATTTTTTGTGATTTTTCTTGCCGATAGATATTCTTTTTCATAATATTTTTCTGACCAACTTTAATTTGCTCGTCAGTAGAGTCCATTTTCTAACAATTTTTGTAATATTGTCAAATTTAATTTGATTAACAGTAGAATCGCATTTATAAAAAAAACAGTAAAGTCTTTATACTCTAACATTTTTTCTCATGTTCAGGTTCAATTTGCTCGTCAAAAGTCTTATTTTCTCCTTACATTTTTTATTTCTGCTCGTCAGTAGAGTCCCTTTTTAATTTAAATTTTTAAATTATTTGAAATAAAAATTTTGTATGTTAAAGGTACTGTATGCAGTATTGAATTAGTCTTTGGACTATTAAAAAATTCTAGTAGTCAAAAATAGCTTAAGACATTTGACTCGATCAAATCGACTCGTTTCGTAAACCTGTTTTGGCAAATGGTTTTTGGCATGCTTTTTTTTTCAAATTTATCTGCTTTATTTTAAATTATTTGGCTTTTGTAGTAATTCTTGTAAAGTTTTGGGCTATTCTTTCTTTAATTATTTTTTCAGTCGATTTCTGGCGAATTTGGAACACAGTCACGATAACTATTCATAAAATAAAGTCATCAAATATGTGCGGCCTATTTTTCTAAATTTCAATTATTTTACTAATTGGACCGCTTCTCATAGGCCTATAATAATTGAAGGGCATTTTTTTGAAAATAAGCATTATTAGTTTACAGTGTCTTTTTTGTGACTGTTCCAATTATATGTCCAGTTATTCGATCATTATCTACTGCTTAGTATTCTTTTATCGTTTTTATTTTTACAAAACAAAAAAGGGTTCTATTTAAGGTTTCTGTTTTTTCCCTTCTGTTTCTTTCTGTTTTTGTTTATTGTAGACGGGCAGTGACAGTGGAAACAAGGTCATCACTGATATGATCAAAAGGTCCAATGAATGGAAATTTAGGGTAAAAATCATATTGACAATTTTCTGAACGATGGGGAATTAAAATTATTGCATTTAGCACGAAATTATGTGTAATAATGGGATACATTCATTCAATATTTTGATCATGCATATGTAATATATCTTGTTTGTTTGTACAAGACGTTGTCCTAGCATTGACCCTTGCGGTACACCAATTTTAATACTTTTTAGTAAAGAATTATTTATATCAAGTCATATATAGATCAACCAGTTCGTCGAAATAATGAATATGTCTTGATATAAACAATTATTTATTTAAAAAATATTAAAATTGGCGTACCGCAAGGGTCAATGCTAGGGCTACCTCTAGTACAATCAAGATACACTACATATGGATATACATATATTCATATGTAATATATCTTGCTCTTTTTTGTACAAGAGCTAGTCCTGGCATTGAACCTTGCGGTACACCAATTTTCTTTATTTTTTAACAAATTATTTATATCACATCATATAGATCAACGAATTCGTCGACTATGAATTAAATTATTGAGAATTCTAATTTATTATGGATGTTTTTAGTGCCAATTTTAATTCAGACATTTTTCTTTTTCATAATATTTTTTTCTAATATTTTTCTGACCAACTTTAATTTGCTCATCAGTAGAGTCCATTTTCTAACATTTTTGTAATATTGTCAAACTTAATTTGATTAACAGAGTCGTTTTTTATAAAAAAAACAGTAAAGTTTCGTTATCTTCTAATATTTTTCCTCATGTTCAGGTTCAATTTGCTCGTCAGTAGAGTCCCCTTTTCTCCTTACATTTTTTATCTCTGCTCGTCAGTAGAGTCCCTTTTTAATATTAATTTTTAATTTTTTTGAATGAAAATTTTATATGTTGAAGTTACTGTAGCAGTATTGAATTAGTCTTTGGACTATTAAAAAATTAATTCAGGCATTTTTCTTTTTCATAATATTTTTTTCTAATATTTTTCTGACCAACTTTAATTTGCTCATCAGTAGAGTCCATTTTCTAACATTTTTGTAATATTGTCAAATTTAATTTGATTAACAGAGTCGTTTTTATAAAAAAAAAACAGTAAAGTTTCGTTATCTTCTAACATTTTTCATCATGTTCAGGTTCAATTTGCTCGTCAGTAGAGTCCCTTTTCCTCCTTACATTTTTTTTAACTCTGCTCGTCAGTAGAGTTCCTTTTTAATTTTAATTCAATATTTTTTGAATGAAAATTTTATATGTTGAAGTTACTGTAGCAGTATTGAATTAGTCTTTGGACTATTAAAAAATTAATTCAGGCATTTTTCTTTTTCTCTAATATTTTTCTGACCAACTTTAATTTGCTCATCAGTAGAGTCCATTTTCTAACATTTTTGTAATATTGTCAAATTTAATTTGATTAACAGAGTCGTTTTTATAAAAAAAACAGTAAAATTTCGTTATCTTCTAACATTTTTCATCATGTTCAGGTTCAATTTGCTCGTCAGTAGAGTCCCTTTTTCTCCTTACATTTTTTATCTCTGCTCGTCAGTAGAGTTCTTATTTAATTTTAATTTCAATATTTTTTGAATGAAAATTTTATATGTTGAAGTTATTGTAGCAGTATTGAATTAGTCTTTGGACTATTAAAAAATTCTTGTAGTCAAAAATAGCTTATTACATAACAAATTCTCCGAATTGATGAAATTACTTGATGTAAACAATTTTTTGCTAAAAAAATAAATAAAATTGGCGTACCGCAAGGGTCAATGCTAGGGCTACCTCTGGTACAATTAAATATAAAATATAATAATGGTAAGACGTTGCTCGTTTAAGGATTTGTATTTTGGGTTGCATGATTGAAAAATGAAAAAAATGTTTTTTTTTATAAATTTGTGCATGTTTATTTTTTTATTTTTTAATTATGATTTTGGATTTTTATAACATACTTTACTATGTGTAATATGACTTAGAAAATCACTAAACAAAAAATATTTTTGTCACTTCAACAAAAAGAATTTCTTTTAATCATTTTTATACTATCATGAGGGGAAATCACTGTTTTTTTTTTTGTATCTCGAACGGCGTGTTCTTAACAAAAAATTAATTAAAACCAGAAATTTTATATTTTCAAAACAAAACATACAATAGCCCTTGGAAATTATCATCAACGTTGTAATTAAAAATTTAAAAATGCGGAAGCTCTATACATATTATATAAAACTTATCATATTACGAAATCTTATCTTATCTCAAACTCAACTCAAGGGGGTCATATGTCTCGCCAGGATTCTGCATTTTTTTGCAACAAATGCAGAATTTTGCATAAACATTATTGCGAAACGATTGCAATAATAAATAAATGATAGTGTCGACCATGTTGGCATAAAAATAGGTTTTCTTAGGTGGTCGTTGACTTCCATTACAAAACTATTTATAAATCTTGCACTCGACTATTTCATGAGCCAATTGCATTCGACACCTCGGTACGTTTTTTGATGAGCTCTTCAGGATAGTCAAAAATTTAAGAAAAAAGTATTTAACAGTATAGTACAAACGGTGCGCTCTTATGTCTCTGATCTATTTCCATTACGAAGGGCCAAATTTAAAACGGTTTCTAATAAATTTTTCATCCGATGATTTAATAACGTTGACCTCAAATATTGAACTTTGTCGCAATCTTTTGAATCGCCAAAGGTCGACTTTTAACTTTAACCAAGATAACGAAAACGACATCAAACAAATATTATTTTGTCACAAATAAGAACATATTGACGTCATTGTGAGAATTTTTAATTCATAGTATCCAGTTATTTAAATCTGCATCTATAAATAAATAAATAGGATCGACAACGGGATTTACTTAATAGCAATATCACAATTCTTTTATTCAAAATCTTTAAGGGTAATTGCTATTCTCGGGTACATGGTTTGCTTATATGGCAACTCTAGAAAGTTCTTTTTTTTATCGAAATATACTTTGCTCGACAGTAGAGTTCTTTTTCCATTTTACTATATCATACAGTTACTATTTTACAGTATACGGAGTTGCTGTACGGTTTTATGATGTTAGACAATATTGTAGATCATTCAATTTCGAACAAATTTGCCGAATATTTCATTCGTTTCCGACGAACCGTTCAAAAGTTACAAGAGATTCAATAAAATGCCGACCAATGGGTTGCCGAAGTATAAATAGTAAAGCGGGTAAAGTTGTTGTGACGTCACATATGTCATGTGGGGTATCAAATGAAAGGTCTCACTGAGCACTATCCAAATACCGCATTTATAGTCTTGAAACATCAATAGGGTTCTGGATAATACATTTATTCAATTTTATTATAATTTTCTGTAATATATCACTTTAGAGCAATCAATTTTCTATAAATTCGCCGAATATTTCATTTACTTCAGACGAATCGTTTAAAAGTTACAAGAGATTTAATAAAATGCCGACCAATGGGTTGCCGAACCACAAATAGTACAGCGGGTAAAGCTATGACGTCACATGTGGCATGTTGGGTATCAAATGAAAGGTCTCAATGAGCACTATTCAAATATCACAACAAATCAATAGAATTCCGTATTCTTATATTTATCTAGCATCTAGCAGAAGTATTTGTTTCGTTTGCCGTTCTAGAGTAAAACAAGTTACCATAGGCTTTTAGATTATTTGACAGTATTATAGATTATATAATTGTGCACCAATTTCCTAAATATTTTACTTCTCTACGTTGACTAGTTTAAAAGTTACACAATTTAGTAAATAAATGCACCATTGCACTACAAATAGTACAGTGGGCCAAATTAGTGTTAAAAAGTTTTACTTCAAATGTAGGCATGTGGGGTATCAAATGAAAGGTCTCGACAAGCACTAACCAAATATATCAGTAGCGTTCCAATAAAAGCAATGGGGTTCCGTATTCAATGCATATCTATTATTTAGCTCTAATTTCTAGTTTCAGAGCAAACCGAGTTACTTCAGAGCATTAGTATATTAGACAGCATTATACATTATTTAGTTTTATGAAATATTGCCGAATATTACACTTATCTATAACGAATCGATCAAAAGTTACAAGCAACACAGTAAATAAATACACATACAAGATGCTGGACTATAAATAGTACAGCGGGTCAAATGTGAGTAAGAAAGTTTTGCTTCAAATATAGGCATGTTGGGTATCAAATGAAAGGTCTCAACGAGTATTATCTAAAAATCTTACTGACAGATACAAAAAAGCAATAGGGTTGCTTATAAAATCTTATACTAAATTTTTAATGTCCATTTTTGCAATTATAGTCTACTAACTTTTTGGAAGGTTTTAATACTAGACAATATTATAGACAATTGATTTTAGCACAAATTCACCGAATTTCATGCATTTTGAACGAACGGTTCAAAAGTTACAAAAGATTTTGTAAAAGGTAGACCAGTGGGTTGCCGAACAATGTTGTCATATAAAATATGTCATGTGGGGTATCAAATGAAAGGTCTCGGCGAGTACTATATAAAAAACTTACTTATGAGCTCCAAAAATTAACAGGGTTCCGTACAAGATAAATATCAACATCCAATAGCATTTTTCAAGTCAAAAAAAAATATATTCCAATATTTTACAGAATATTTGAAGTTGCATTACGGTAACCAAAATAAAACTTTAAAATGTGTTATTTATTTATATATAATTTTTGTTTAGTGTAACACGATTCGTTTGTAGTTATGACGTGAGCGGAATTTTATTCCGCATAATCTTGTTTTGAAATTGCATTACAAATAAAATGCATAACAATTCGTTTAAATTTTGATAATATCCTGATGCACGTGGGTGCTCCGCAGACCACCGTCGAAGGGGGCACATATATTTCTTGGAAATTTTGTTAGATAAGATATTAAGACTTGAGGGGTCTTCGTCTTATCTGTTTGCATGGTGGGAATCTTTTTTTAATGTAATTTATCATGAAATTTTATGCAACTGTTTCATTTGTAAATAATAGCATTTGATTTGAAATTTATTTTGGAAAATTATTTATACATATAAATGTATTTATACATAAGTCTTATGTATGTTGTGATTTTTTTCTGGACATTTTTGTAACTGAATTTTTCATAATAATACATCATCTCATCATAAACATTTCATTTGTAAATTTTAAATTATTTTTGATATTTAACATGAAAAATATTTTCTTAATATATTTCTTTAGATTAATATATTATTTGCTTTTTTTTGTTTTATAACTATAACCTGTTTCCTTGACTCTTAAATTGTAAACTAAGTTAAAATCTGAAAACTTAAACTTATATATTTTCTACCTTGAATTTTTATTTAAAGATCAATTTCTATAAGTTCTTATATTTCTTAAATAAGTTTTAAAAAAAATTATCTCTCAAGCAACAAGATTTTAAGTTTCTTGTCTGTCTAGCAAGAAGATCATAAAATTCTTGTCTATCGAGCAACAGGAATAAAATTTTCTGGTTTCTTGAGAAGACAAAGCTTCTAAAATAAATTTCCGGTCTCTCAAACAAGATTTTAAATTTTTTGTCTATTGAGCAATGGGATTGTAAATTTTTTATTTCTTGGGCAAAAAGATCATAAATTTGTTAAAAGAAGAGTTTGAAACTTCTGGTTTATCGAGCAACAATATTTGAAATTTCTTGTCTCGAGCAAAAAGATTACAATATTTTGTCACTCGAGCAATAATATTGCAAATTTGTCCAGCAGCAAGATCATACAGTTCTACTTAGTTTATAAATTTTATGTCTTTTGAGCAATGAGGTTAAACAGTTCTCGACTCTTGAGCAACCAGATTATTAATTTGTTGTTTTTCAAGCAATAAAACTTGAAATTTCTTCATCAAGCAAGATTAGTTTGAAACTTTTTTTTTATCGAGCAAGATTGCTTAAAACTTTTTATTTATAGAGCATGATTGCTTGAAACATTTTATTTATCGAGCAAGATTTCTTGAAACTTCTTATTTATTGAGTAAGATTCCTTGAAACATTTTATTTATCGAGCAAGATTTCTTGAAACTTCTTATTTATTGAGTAAGATTCTTTCAAACATCTTATTTATCGTGCAAGATGCTTGAAACTTCTTATTTATCGAGCAAGATTGCTTGAATTTTTTGTTTATCGAACAAAATGACTTGAAACTTCTTATTTATTGAGCAAGATTACTTGATACTTATTTATGAGCAAGATTGCTTTATACTTTTTATTTATCCAGCCAAGTGGCTTGAAATTTCTTTATTTATCGAGCACGATTGCGCGAAACTTCTAGTTTATCGAGCTAGATTTGATACTTCTTATTTATAGAGCAAGATTTTTCGAAACGTTTTATCTATCAAGCAAGGTTGCCTGAAACTTTTTATCGGGCAAGACTTGCTTGAAACTTTTTATTTATCGAGCAAGAATGCTTTGAACTTTTTATTTATTGAGCAACATTGCTTGAAACTTCTTATTCATCGGTCTATATTTCTTGAAACTTCTTGTTCATTGAGCGACAATACTTGAAACTTCTTGTTTGTCTGAACTTCTAAATTCTTGTCTATCGAGCAAGATTGCTATTCTTTTTTTTTTCAAGCAAGAATAGTTTGAAGTTTCATATTTTTTGAGAAATACAGCTTGAAAATTCTTGTTTTTTGAGCAAAGATAGTTTGAAACTTTTAATCTTTTGAGCAACAAGATTTGAAATAGAATTTTTTTAATTTTACGGATAAAACTACAAAATGTTTTTGTTTTTGAAGCAACGAGATTTTTATAAAATTCTTGTTTCTGGCACAAAAACATGTTAAAAGTGTCTTGTTTTTCGGTAAAGAAGACTCTAAAAATTTTTTTTTGTACCCGCACCAATAGATTGGAACTTGTAAAAATATTTATATATGGTAAGAATAGAAACCAGATTATTTAAAATTTCTATCCGATTCAGTGGCCTATTATACAGTAATTAGAACAATGTTATGGCAAGGCTATGTTATGTAGCAGTTTTCTTATAAAATCTTACTAAAATCTATGTGGTTGCCGTGCAGTCAGGCATTTTAGATATAAAATTTATTCTAGAAAATGCAAAAATGTCGACAAACAAAGTTATGTAATCATAACTGGATCTTTGAGATATATTGATAACATATGAGTGAAGTTACATTTTACGCTTCATCGCACAGCAAATACTTGGCATTTTGACAGAAACGGCAGAATTGGCCCATAAAACAAAAATTATATATAAAATCTTCTGTAAAACCACAACTTACTATTTTTTTCTCTTTTCATTTTTCTCTCTTGCTTTCCTCTTTATCTTTTTCGCTTTTTTCTTTTCTTTTTACTCCTCTTTTTTCTTTTTGTTCCATTTTTTCTCTCAATTTTTTATCTTTTTTCTCGATTTTTTATCTTTTTTTCTCCTCTTTTTTTATCTCTTATCTCTGCTTTATTTTTTTATTTTTTTCTCTGCTCTATTTTTTTATTTTTCTCTCTGCTCTATTTTTTTTTATTTTTCTCTTTGCTCTATTTTTTTTTATTTTTCACTCTGCTCTATTTTTTTTATTTTTCTCCCTGCTCTATTTTTTTATTTTTCACTCTGCTCTATTTTTTTCATTTTTCACTCTGCTCTATTTTTTTTTTTCATTTTTCACTCTGCTCTATTTTTTTATTTTTCACTCTGCTCTATTTTTTTATTTTTCACTCTGCTCTATTTTTTTTATTTTGCTCTCTGCTCTATTTTTTTATTTTTTTGTCTCTGCTCTATTTTTTTTATTTTGTCTCTGCTCTATTTTTTATTTTTTGTCTCTGCTCTATTTTTTTTAAATTTTTTTCTCTGCCGTATTTTTTTATTTTTTGTCTCTGCTCTATTTTTATATTTCTCTCTTGTTAACTTCCCGTAGGGTAAGTTATAGTAATCGCAAAAAAATCGAAAATGAAAATTTTTATATATCTTTACGTTTCAGAGGTTTCTGAACATTTTGGCATACCTTAGAAAAAATGGATGTATGTGTGTGTGTGTGTGTGTGTGTGTGTGTGTGTGTGTATGTGTGTGTGTATGTATGTATGTATGTACGTGTGTGTATGTATGTGCGGATACAAATTTTCGTCGACGATTTCGGGAACATGGGTCAACCGATTTGAATAATTCAAAAAACATTCGATTCGTATTGATAAGGAGACGTGCTGATTAGTTTTTGGCGAAGGCAGGTCTAGCCGTTCCGAAGATACGGGGCAAAAAGTGCCGAAAACGGTAACTCAGTTTTTGAGAGAACGGAGCGTCCGATTTGAATAATTCAAAAAACATTTCACTTGTATTGACAAGATGAAGAATCGATAAAATTTTCATAAAGGTAGGTCTAGCGGTTTCGGAGATATGGAGGAAAAAGTAAAAAAATGAGCCATTTGGCGGTCAAAAATGATTATTAGACATATGCACATCAAATTATCAGATATTTTATAGAGATTTTAACAATAAGTATAATTTTGGTTTACATTCCTATGGGTTCCGTACCAATGTTTACGCGTTAGACGTCGACGCGGCGCTTACGCGGTTTGATATTTCGTCTTTATGCAGTTAAAGCAGTACGATTGATTTGAAAAGAAAGTTCAGATCTTCCACAATATGTCAAAATAAAAAAAAAAAAAATTTTTTAAAAAAAATTTTTTTCAAAAAATAGTAATTTTTTGTCCAATTTATAGTTTCTCAAAATCTTATTTTTTCAAAGTAATTTTTTTTTCAAAAATGTTAATCGTTTTTAAAAAAATAATAATTTTTGGTACGGGAAGTTCCAGCAATTTGCCTCAAGGCACGATGCCTTAATTGCCTTAAGACAGAATTCCACTTACAGCTAGTTTTTTTTTTAACCAAAACACTTTGAGAATTGTGGAAAAAGAAAGAAGATAGGCAACGTTATCTTAAACTTGTTTATTTCTAGTGAAAATGTGAAAATATCCATGTAATTGCTGTTCGATCTTATGATAACAAAATCTTTGATGCAGTTATCATAACATTCTCCCTTGCTTTGTTTATATGTAAAATACGCCTCATCGCAAAGCAAATAGACATTTTTACAATTTTCACTGCCAATAAACAACTATAATTTGATGGCAGAATTGCCTCACAACTTGCAAAATCTTTTGCAAAAACCTCAACTCACCATTGTTGCCACTCCATTATCTTCCTTATCTCTGTCTTTCACAACTAACCCAACTCACCTCACATCAATCACCAATATCAATACATTCTAACCAATTATAACTTATCATCTCTATTATTATAACTTATCATCTCTACTATTATAACTTATCAATATCATAATTTTCAACCCTCAATAATCTATCTATCCTCTCATCACCAGAGTCGCGCCCCGATATCCGCCAAACTCGTAGCCAACATGCTATCGGTGGCAGGCGCCGATCACATAATTACGATGGATTTGCACGCCTCTCAGATTCAGGGATTCTTCGACATACCCGTCGACAATTTGTATGCCGAACCTGCTGTTCTGAAGTGGATCAAGGAGAACATTGCCGAGTGGAGGAATAGTATTATTGTGTCGCCAGATGCCGGTGGAGCCAAGAGGTAAGAGGAAGATGAACTAGATTGTTTTGGCTTGGGGCAAATTGCTGGAACTTCCCGTGCCGTAATGAAATATTCGAGAAATATTAAAAGTTTTCAAATATATTATTATTTTAAATACTGTAATTGCTTTATTATTTTTGCATTATTTTGTTATATCTGAGCAAATCAAATGTAAATCATAAATCATAAATCATTTTATCTCCAGAACATTAACATTCAATTTCAAAAAAATAGTTGCCTAATTTCAATTTACACAAATTTGAATTGAAGTGCTCCCGCATAGTCACAGTCTAAACGCATTTGCAAATAATTCTGTGCGGCATTTTCACTTATACTGTGCTTAGCTTGGCGGCATTTTCACATTTTTCAATAGTTTTCACATAAAATTGGAAAAGTGCTCCGGTATATAAACAGTCTAAACGTACTTGGGTAAACATTTGTACTAGAGTGGCGCTTAGATTGTGCTTAGTATGGGTAATTTTTGGAATTTTTTTAAATCCAAAATTACAAACATATTTTATGGAAAATAAAAAAAGAAGTAATAATTTTTTATCCTCAAAAGCAATTGCTTTGTCAATACAGGCAGAAAGTTTTTTTATATCATTTAAATCGGACGCTTAGTTCTCTTAAAAACTGCCATTTTTTGTACATTCAGCTCTGTATCTCCGTAACGACTGGACCTGCCTTTGGCAAAAACTAATCAGCACATCTCCCTATCAATAGACATCGAACGTTTTTCAAATCATTCAAATCGGTTGATCCGTGTGCCCGAAAACGTGCCCGAAAACGAATAAATGCGGACATACAAAACACACACACACACACATCCATTTAGTTTCTGAGGTATGCCCTTTAAAAATGTTCAGAAACCTTGAAAACGTCGAGAAATGTAAAAATTTTCAATTTCGATTTTTGGCCCATTACTATAACTACCCTACCCTGCGGGAAGTTAAAAATTACAAGATTTTAAATTTCTAGTCTATCAACCAACGACACTTGAAATTTCTTGTTTATCAAACGACAACACTTGAAATTTTTACTTGCATACTTACATACTAGTTTACATGCTTATTCACTCTCTTAATGGTTCATTTATTTTCTTATTTATTATCAAAGTTCAAATAAAAAATATTTCATTACGGTAAGTTCCAGCAATTTGCCTCATGGCACGATGCCATACACCACTAGTTTACTCTCTTATTTGTTCTTTTTTTTTTTTACTTATTTATTTACTTACTTTCATATATACATACTTCCTTCCTTACATATTTATTTTCTTTACTTGTACAATAATTTACTTGTATACTTCATCATTATTACTAGATTTTATTTAACTAAGATATTTTTACTTGTTTGTTTTTACTTGATCATTTTATGTTTATATTTTCTATGGTTTACTAGTTTCTTCGTTTTTTTTAGTTAGCTAGTTTTTATTAGTTTGTTTTTACTCACTTTTTTTATTAGCGTTTTTCTATTTTTTTTTTACTACAAACTAATAAAAAAACTTCTTTGTACTCCTTTTTCATTTTTACCTTCCGTTTGTTTATTTTTTATCGAATCATTTCATCCAAAATTATCCAATATCTAAACCTTTTACACAAAGTTTTAAACTCTACTACGATAACTAACGAATCTATCGGCATCTACATCAACGATTTACGTATCCACGAAAAATAAGGAAGGCTAACTATATATTTCCTTATCTTTGCAAAAACCAATCCAGCATTTATCAACCTCTTCTATTAATTTCTATTTTCTCTATTCCAGAGTCACCTCAATAGCTGACAGATTGAACGTAGAGTTTGCTCTCATCCACAAAGAGAGGAAAAAGGCCAACGAAGTGGCATCCATGGTGTTAGTTGGAGACGTCAAGGATCGTGTTGCAATTCTGGTCGATGATATGGCTGACACCTGTGGCACAATATGTCACGCAGCTGAAAAACTCACAGAAGCTGGGGCCACCAAAGTAATTAGAATAGTAATAATAATATAATATATATATATATATATATATATATATATATATATATATATATGTAATATATCAAGAAAGATTTCAAAATTACCAAAGATTTATTTATTAAATGTATCATAAATGAGTTGCTGTACTATATATAGTACAGTTGGTCAAATGTGAGTTAAGAAGTTTCACTTCAAATATGGCATGTGGGGTATCAAATGAAAAGTCTTAACAAGGACTATTGGTATTTTTGAATTTCGAACAAACTTGTCAAATGTTTCATAGCAATCGGACCTATTGTTCAAAAGTTATGAGAGATTTTATAAATGGTAGACCAATGGGTTGCCGAAAAGTAGGCCAAGACGTTTTGATATAAAATATAGCATGTGGGGTATCAAATGAAATGTCTCAATGAATACTATACAAATATCTTTTAATTTTATTTAATAAATCGATGTATTAATTTATGAGTGCTTCATAAGTATGCAGAGTTGCTGTAGACAATGTTATAGATATAAATTGAAATAAATTTACCGAGTATTTTGTTGCAATCGGTCGAAATGTTTAAAAGTTACAGGTGATTTAATAAAAGGTTGTCCAATGGGTTGCCGAACTATAAATACTACATTTAGTTAGAACATATTAGAAAATATTTAAGATTATTTGATTTTCTCTAGTTTTGTCGAGTGTCGGAAGTTACAGGAGATTTAATAAAAGAAGGACAAAATGGGTTGCCGAACAATGTTGTCACGTGAAATATGTCATGTGGAGCTCTGTCAAAATCCGCTCGTCTTTGTTTTCTTAAGTCATATTTTACCAATAGTTTTACTGAATTTGCTCGTCAGTACAGTCCTTTGCAGTTTGCTTGACATTGTTTACCCACGTTGTTCTATTTTGTAAATCTATAAATTTATCAATTTATTTGCTTGTTAGTAGAGTTTCTTTTGTACATTATTTTAATTTTGGTTCACTTGTCAGTAAAATTCCTTTTGTTTTCTTTCAGTTTTAGATTGCTCGTCAAAAGAGTTATCTTTTAAGATGGATGACATTTTCACGAATAACTTCTTTATTTATTTGTCAGTAGAGTTTTATTTATTTATCTTTATCTAATATAATTTTGCTATGTTAAAGTATACAAAGTTGTTCTAGGCTTTTACTCTATTAAAAAGTGTTATAAAGAATTCAATTCAGCATAAATTCTCTGAATGTTTCATTCCTTTTCAAGCGAACTGTTCAAAAATTACTAGAGATAATAAAGAGCGCACCAAAAATATTGGCGTAAATTTTTTTTGAAAAATAAATATTTTTGAAGGGACTCTACTGACGGGCAAAATCAATCTCGAGGCAAATATGTGATTGACAAAATGATTCTCATCTAAATAACGGGTGGTCTATCTAGTGGTCCTAGTGATCTTACGGTTTAGATATTTCTGTAAAGAAAACATACGAAGTATTATACATCGTTGGAAAGGTCTCAAAATTTTTAGTTTTTTTTTTAATATACCGCAACTTTGAATTCTGCACTGTGTGGCCTACAGGCAAGTTGCTATCGATACATTCCACTTTTTAAATAGGCAATAATAATAAAACAGACTCTACTGACGACCAAAACTGACACAAAATGTTAATCATGAACTTGACAAGAATAGTAATGAAATTTTATAAAAGGAGAGACTTTACTGACGAGCCATTTGAACTAGGATTTGGTAAAACTAATAAAATAAATAGTCAAGATAAAGGACTCCTGGTCAGATAATTAAACTAGACAAAAATAGACCTAAAATTAAACTAGAAATAAAATAATGTAGATATGGTGAAAAGGGATTCTACCGAATTTCAATTTTTGACAAAAATTAATGGTATAGGGCCTTACTGTCGACCAAATTGGACTCGCTCTTAACGCTAATTTGACTTCAGCAATTCGTATGTTTGTGTATTTATTTATTACAACTTTTACAACTTTTGAACCGTTTCTCTGAATTAAAGGAAACATTTGGTGACTCTGTATAATATAAAGTGAACTATATTGTTTTCTAATTCATAATGTTCTTTAAGCAACTCGGTATATCTAGAAATAGTAATTGAAAGCAAATACATATTAGATACTAAAAAAAAGTATTGTTTGAAATCTATTGTTTTGTTCAGCAAGTCACTTATTTATGTAGTGCTCGTCGAGACCTTTCATTTGATACCCCACATATTTGACAACACATATGTGACAACATTTTTATTCGCATTTCTGCAACCCAATGGTCTACTTTTTAATTAATATGGTTAGAACGGTTTGTCCAAAAAGAATGAAATATTCAGCAAATTGAATTCTTTATAACATTCCATATTCCACAATTAAAAAAAGATTTGTACCGGACCATATTGATTTTTCGAGTCTATAAGCATGATATTTATATTGTATCGTCTAGATCTTTCATTTGATACCCCACATGCCGTGACAACATATTTATCCGCTGTACTGCAACCCATTGGTCCACTTTTCTTCATATCATTGATAACTATTGAACCGTTTGTCTGATGTAAATGAATTATTCGGTGAATTTATGCTAAAGTAAATTGTCTCTTGACTAGTTTAGAAACCTTGCAGCAAGTTGGTATACTTTAAAATTGCAAAAAATTAGATTAGAAAGCGAATAAATGGTATGTATGTGGAACCCTATTTGTTTTTAGAGACTTGTATATGGTGATATTTGTATAGTGCTTGCTGAAATCTTTCATTTGACACCCCGAATGCATTTTTACTATATAAAAACATTTTGACTTCTATACTATTTATGACAACTCATCTGTGCGTGTTTATAAAAAGTAAATTGTACGGTGGGTCGAAACACATAAATTCAACAATTCAACATTCAACAGTTCATGATTTGTGTAATACCGTCTAGTTATTCATCTAGATTAAATATTCAAATAACGAATTCGGACATTCACAAAGGACATAACACCCCGAGCGTTGTGTGAGTGCAGTACAACGATCAAGAATAAGTCTAGAATTGAAAGCTCAAAGATCGCAAATTTAACAAATAGATGTAACAAATAAATTGGGATAGAAGTTAGTTATTGTTTTTTTTTTTTTTGATTATTTATATTATTGCATATTGTGAGACAGGTCCTTGTTGCAAGAACTTCTTCATTTACTTCAATTTTTTGATCCTACATTTTGAAAAAATTTCCCGAAGGAGAAGTTTGTTTTCATAAAAAAATCCGATTCGCTAATTTTGTTTTCTCGACGTTTCAAGCCATTCTGAATCAAATGAGACCAAATTTGGAAAAGGTGTATGCGTGTACGTGTGTGTGAAGATTTTTTGCCGTAATCTCAAAAACGGCTGGACCGATTTCAAAAATTTAAAAGCCATTCGATGTATCTCGATGAGGACCAGCGTTTCTGAGTTTTGTGTGACGATCGGCCGAGCCGTTTCTTTGTAGGTCGCAGAAAAGTGAAATTATTTTCGTCCACGTTTTAACCCGCAATTCTGAATCGATTTCGTAAATTCAAAAACTGTTCGAAAGATGTTATTTGTTTGATACTGATTAGTTTTATATACTTCCAGTTAACGTGTTCGTTCGTTTTCAATTGTGTGTAATAAATCCACTCGGAATACTTTTAATAACTCTCAAATTAATTTATTTTTTTTTGATTAAGTCGATTATTTGCACATATCAGGAAGTTCATGTAACTTGCCTCAAGGCTAAATACCAATACCAACTAGTTCAGCAATCATTTTATTTTTTATTAATACTAACATAATAAATTGTTTTTTAGGTCTATGCCATCCTGACACACGGAATATTCTCCGGACCTGCCATATCTCGTATAAACAATGCTTGCTTCGAAGCAGTCGTAGTAACAAATACCATTCCACAAGACGGACACATGAAAGACTGTCCTAGGATACAGGTGAGACGACACAGACATTTAATCGATAATTAATTAAACACACCGTGCTAAGTCTTTTACACTTTTTTTTAGTGTATCGATGTGTCCATGATGTTTGCCGAAGCTGTAAGACGAACACACAATGGCGAATCGGTATCGTACCTATTCTCCAACGTGCCATATTAATTATAAACAAACAAACAAACAAATATATATATATAAATAAATAATAATTGACAAATGCATATCTCAAATATGTGAAGATATTTGATTTATAAAAAGGCACCTCCTAGTTTATAAAATTAATTAATAGCAAATTAATTGATTAAATATTTTATAAGGATCGTCGTCGTCAGGGATTGATTGATAGATTATCAAAAAAAGCATATATTATTTTTTTATCAGCAGTTTTTTTCCCCGTTTTTATTTTTATATAAATATATTTATATAAAAAAAATATTGATAAACGAATGCATGATTGTATTTTTTATGTGTTTTGTTTATAATTAATTATAGATCTGTTATTAAATTTACTTAAATAAAAATGTATATAATTGTAAACAGATATTTTTGTATAGTTTTTGTCATTCCAATACAATGTGATTTATTCATTAGACGAACATGAATGTTTTTATTACAAACACTAAATTTAAGTAAATAAAAATTTAAGATTTTCAGAGCTTAGGTAAAGGTACCAAATTCACACTAAAAGTATTTTTATTCAACATTCACATGCAGTAAATTTAGTTTCAACTTGGTTTTTTAAATATGTGAGAGTGAGAGTTTTAAATAGTTATATACAGATTGTAGATAATTTTATTAGCTTTCTAATGATATATGATAGTATATACACGTTTGAACAAATTGTTAAAGAAATTTGTCGGAATATGAAAAAATATAACCGGCGGACATATTTGTACACCAAAATGGCGTCGTACGACTCGGTATTCAATTGTAAAGTTTTTAATCTAATTTTGTTCCGAACGTTACAAATTATTATATACAGATTTGTAGATAATTTTATGAGCTTTCTAATGATATATAATTGTATATACATGTTAGAACAAATTGTTGAAGAAATTTGTCCGAATATGACAAAGTGTAAGCGGCAGACATATTTGTTTACCAAAATGGCGTCGTACGACTCGGTATTCAATTGTAAAGTTTTTAATCTAATTTTGTTCCGAACGTTACAAATTATTATATACAGATTTGTAGATAATTTTATGAGCTTTCTAATGATATATAATTGTATATACATGTTAGAACAAATTGTTAAAGAAATTTGTCGGAATATGAAAAAATATAACCGGCGGACATATTTGTTCACCAAAATGGCGTCGTACGACTCGGTATTCAATTGTAAAGTTTAAATATTTTTTTAATTTAATTTTGTTCCGAACGTTACAAATTATTGTATACAGTTTTATAGATAATTTGATCATCTTTCTAATGATATATAATAGAATATACATGTTTGAACAAATTGTTGAAGAAATTTGTCGGAATATGAAAAAATGTAACCGGCAGACATATTGGATTACCAAAATGGCGTCGTACGACTCGGTATTCAATTGTAAAGTTTTTAATCTAATTTTGTTCCGAACGTTACAAATTATTATATACAGATTTGTAGATAATTTTATCAGCTTTCTAATGATATGTAATAATATAAACACGTTTAAACAAATTGTTAAAGAAATTTGTCGGAATATGAAAAAATGTAACCTGCAGACATATTTGGTTGGGTATCAAATAAGAGGTCCCAATAAGCCCTATCGATATATCATAGTGATATTCGATACGAATCGATAGGGTTCCGTATAAACCACTTTTTTATGTATCCTTTTTTGTACCAACTTGATGTAAGGTTTAATACTAGACAGTATTATAGACAATTGAATTTAGCACAAATTTGCCGAATATTTCATTTATTTTGAACGAACGATTCAAAAGTTACAAGAGATATAATGAAGGGTGGACCAATGGGTTGCTGAACAATTAAGTGACGTCATATATGGCATGTGGGGTATCAAATGAAAGGTCTTGACGAGTAATAAACAAATACCACTTTATAGTCCTACCAAAAATACAATAGGGGTTCCGTACAATATATTTTAATGTTATTTTAAAGTATACCGACTTGCTGTAAGGTTTCTATTCTAGAAAATATTGTAGACAATTAAATTTAGCACAAATTCACCGAATATTTCATTTGTTTTGGAATAACGGTTCAAAAGTTACAAGAGATATAATGAAAAGAGGACCAATGGGTTGCTATATTATAAACAGTACAACGGGTAAAGATGTTGTGACGTCACATATGGCATGTGGGGTATCAAATAAAAGGTCTTGGTGAATACTATATAAATATTTTATTCAAAAGCTCTGCAAATCAATAGGGTTCTGTACAAATTATTTACATAATTATTTCTTTTACTACTAAGTTTTGTAAGATATTTTCTAAAGAGCATTTAATTATGTATAAATTTGCTGAATATTCTGTTTGTTTTGGACAAACGGTTCAAAAGTTACGAGAGATATAATTAAAAGTTGACCAATGGGTTGCCCAAATACGAGTTAAAAAGTTTTACTTCAAATATAGGCATGTGGGGTATCAAATGTAACGTCTCGTCGAGCTCTAACTAAATATAACAATTAAAGACACAAAAAAGTAGTAAGGGTTAATTTGAAGAATATACATACAATAATTTCATAGTTTTCAATTTTAAAGTAGATCCGCATACTATTAAATAAATATACCTACGTATATATTGGTAATTTATTTATTTAAGTCAAATATACATATTTTGGGCATTGTTAAAAGTATTTTGTTTATTTACAAACAAATTTTCATATGTTCAGAGTATTTTTTTTGTAATTTACAGTATCATCTATTATTTATAACATCATACAAAATTTTATGATTTCTGCAATTGGAAAATTTTGTCAAAGAATTATTTGTTTAAAGGTTGAAAAACATTTCACACTACTGTAGAATGATAGGTTTGAATTATATAACATACAAATTACTAATTTTATTTTTTTAGTTTTGTTTATATGTATATATATACATTATTTTCATATTTCAGACAGACAGAGGTATGAGAGATTGTGGAAACAGTTTTCATATTTTTAAATGATTAATTAAATTTATAATGATAAGAATTGTTTACTAGTTTTTAAATTTGCCGCCATTTGTGGAAACTGTCAACTGCTTTCAACTGTCAACACAACATCCAATCCGATATAAAATATGTTAAGATTTGTTTAAACAATATACAGAATTTTATGTATATAAATAGTTTAAAATTGCTAAATTTAAGTTTTTTTAACGAAAAACCTACCAAAATTTTACATTAACTTATTTTATATAAAATGGCTGCTAAACAATTAATCAAGCACAAAATATAAATAATACATAAAAAAATAAACAGAAATATAGTTTTAAATACTAACATATAGTTTTAAACATTACATATATAACATTATAATACAATTACTTATAATTATTTAATAAGTTTTGAATTTGCCACAAAATTCAAATTCAAATCCGCGCGTTAACAACTGTCAACCACTTTCAACTGTCAACACAAACTTCACATTAAAGAAAGTGTAAAGCGGTGTTATCAAATAAATTAATATTTAATTAATATTATGATTGATTAGTGCTATTATATGTATTAAAAATTGTAACTTTAAGTATTTATTTGGAACAAAATCGCACAAAATATTATTCTGCTGCATTTTGCAAAACTTTACCTACTTATAAAATGGCTGCCAAATAATAAATCAAAAACAAAACGAAAAAAATACATGTAAGTTTGTACTAAAATGCAAATTGTATATAACATTATAATAATCATAGTCTTCTTTATCTATGATAATAATTATTTGTTTATTTTTGAATTTACCGCCTGGTTCTTTCCGCGCCTTAACCACCTGTCAAACGCGTCAACTACCAAAACATAACCTCAACAAAATTGTCCGGTACTAACAAACAAATTAATATATAAACAAGACTTTAAACAATGTACAAAAATCTATTAATATTTTATAATTAATGATAAACAATTATGGATCTAGACGATCCTGGTGAGGATTCAGTGGAAATAAATCAAGTGAATCCTTCATCACCAATTCTTGAAACTAGAAGAAGCAGTAGAATTAGAAGTGTGCACGATTCTAGCATAATTACTGGTCATATTGTACAAGAAGAAAATAGTAGTAATAGTAATGATATAGTTGTAGTTAAGACTGATGATGTTAAAGTGGTGGATGTCAAATGTAACAAAAAACGAGCCCTAAGTGTCTCAGACAACGACGACGATGATGAAGAGGGTACTTTATGTCCAATATGTTTCGACTACTGGACTAATTCAGGTGATCATCGCTTGACTTCTTTAAAATGTGGGCACTTATTCGGACACTGTTGTATCAAGCGTTGGCTCAAAGGCGAGACAAAAAATTGTCCGACTTGCAAAATGAAAGCACACATTCGTGATCTGCGTTTTATTTACGCAAAGACTCTCAAAGTACAAGACACTAGCGAGTTAGAATTCATGAAAGAAAAACTGGATAAAGTCACAGCCGAGAAATCCAAGCTGGAACTACAATATCAATCCTGCATTATTAAACTACAATTACTCTCTGAAGAGAACGAAAAACTTAAACAATCCTCTATCACCCCAAATAATACTTCCTCTAGTCATTGTAAAACTCAATTAATTGATTTGTACAAAGATAAGACTATAGAGATGTCCAGCGATGCTGGGTGTAGAGTTTTTTCATACAATCCGCATTATCAATTGCTGGCGGTGTCTCAGAAGTCTCAGGGGAATATTTTTGCTGGTTTTGGAGTCAGGTTGATTGATATGAAATTGTGTAAGACGCTACAGTTTGTTTATTTGAGCCAGAAACAGATTCGGCATATTGAATTTAGTACGCTGAATGTGGATTTGTTGCTGACTGTGTCTTTGGATAAAACTGCAAAGGTAAGATAATATATATATATACTAGCTGACCCGGCAAACGTTGTTTTGCCATCAAAAATATTTTGCCGCTTTGCAGAAGTTCTTATAATATACATGATATATTAATAATAATGTTATATTTTCATTACACAAATTTCTTTACGTTTCGATAATTAATTCCAACGCATCATAGTGTTTTGTTTATTTTAATTTTATTTATGTCAATTAGTGAAATATTTTTTTTAATCGATGAATAAATTAGATTTCACAGTCTGAATCAACGCAGTACCATTATCTGAATATATAATACTTTATATAAATATCAGATTTTTTACTTTTATATTTAATTTAAAAATAGTGAATGTCAATTTCATATATCCAATATGCACTAAATTTTTAAATGCCAAAATATTTCCTTTTTGGTCGAAATTTAATATATTATGATATAATTCATATCTATAATTTGATTGCCAATATTGCCTATAACATAACTTGGAATAATTAATTTATTTGTATCTTATTGAAGTCGTTTAAAATTCATTTTTTTTGAACTGTCAAAATTTTGTTTATGATTATTAATGTTAAATTCAATATGTCGCTTTTTTATTGTGATCTATAATGTTTTAATCACTTATCATATAAATTTTCGACTATAAATTGATATTCATACTATCCCTGAAACTAACATGGATAAAGTTCTGAGAAATCCGAGTCCAAATCTAAAAAATGTTTGATTTTTGGCACTTTTATTAATTTTTTATCAATTTTCGTACTGTAAAATTGTAATATTTAGACTATAATTTTAGATGAATATAGTATCTATTTTGGCATAGCAATTAGTTTTCTTTTAATTTGAAATCAAGTGAAACATAAATATATTTATTTGATATTTTTCCATAAATATGCGATTTATGACATTGTTTTCAATTATTTTTAATTTATTTTGAATTAGCAAATGTCAAAAAATATAATTAAAATATGCATTAAATATTGTCTATAAATAATATGTCATTTAATAAGTATTATTTATTACTTTGGTGCCTGATATGGATATGAATTTGTAATAAAATATATTCTTACTGACAAATAGTTAAAAACTTGTTATAATTTTCAAAATTATTTGACATTTCATACTTCCAAAAATAATTCACTCGCATCATGAATTAGTCCAAATCAACGCAGTATCTTTATCTAAATATACAATTTTTCATATAAATATTTGTTTTTTTACATTTGCATTTAATTTAAATAGTGAATGTCAATTTCATATATCCAATATGCACTAAATTTTTAAATGTCAAAATATTTCCTTTATGGTCGAAAATTAATATAATATGATAATATTTATTTTACAATAATGTTTTGTATCTATAATTTGCTTGGCAATATTGCCTATAACATAACTTGGAATAATTAATTTATTTGTTTCCTAATGAAGTCGTTAAACATTTTTCTTTTGTGAAATGTCAAATGTAAATCTATTTATATAATTATTTTCATAAATGTTGACAAATGGCATTTGACGTTTTTTCATGTCAACATTTATTTAAATTTATAAACATTGATTTTTAATTAGATTTAAAACTATAAATTGTGATTTTGAATATAGCATTTCATCTAATTTGGATTTAAATGTTGGATATATCTATATATGTATATGTTTTTGAATTTTATTTTTTGAAATGTCAAATTTTTTTTCAAAAATCATAAATCTTTTTTTCTCAAATTATATATATATATATATATATATATATATATATATATATATATATATATTCAATAGATAAGTCCTGGATTTTTTCAATATATTGATTGTTATCAGTGTGTTTAAGTCTTGTGTAGTCGTAACATCTACAAATATCTTCCAAAAAAATCGAGTGTTTTTAACAAAAAAATATTAGTGATATGGATATATAAATTATTACAGAATAAACCTGATGATGGAACGTACCTAGTTCCGAAACGTCGTATTAAACATCTTCAAAAAACAAATTGTTTTTTATTATTGGATTTACTGTTCGGAAAAGAAACAATCAATATATATATATATACATATATATATATATAAATCTCGTGTCACGATGTTGGTTCGCGATGGACGCCCAAACTACTGAACCGATTTTAAATTTTATTGTCTCATCGTTAGGAAATTTTGAAAAGGAAATTTGAAATATAAATATATTATTTTTATAAATTTCTAAACATTTTGACAGAAAATGACCAAAAAAAAACAAAACACTAAAATGACAAATGTCAAAATTTAAGGAAATTTCGATATATAATTTTTGAAAAAAAAATTTGACATTTCAAAAAATAAAAATCAAAAACATGTACATATATAGAAATATCTAACATTTATATCCAAATTAGATGAAATGCTATATTCAAAATCACTGTTTATAGTTTTAAATCTAATTAAAAATCAATGCTTATAAATTTAAATAAAAGTTGACATTAAAAAAATTAAATGTCATTTGTCAATATTTATGAATAAATTTACGATTTTGATTTATTTGATTAGCTTACCAAATTATTTCGGAAACCAAAACTTCATCAAAACATTATAGATCAGAGATCACAATAAAAAAGCGACATATTGAATTTAAAATTAATCACAAACAAAAATTTGACATTTCACAAAAAAAAAAATTAACGACTTCAATAGGAAACAAATAAATTAATTATTCCAAGTTATGTTATAGGCAATATTGCCAAGCAAATTATTGATACAAAACATTATTGTAAAATAAATACTATCATTTTTGACCATAAAGGAAATATTTTGGCATTTGAAAATTTAGTGCATATTGGATATATGAAATTGACATTCAATATTTTTAAATTAAATGCAAAAGTAAAAAATCGGATATTTATATAAAGTATTATATATTCAGATAATGGTTGATTGCGTTGATTCAGACTGTGAAATCTAATTTATTCATTGATTAAAAAAAATATTTCACTATTTGACATAAATAAAATTAAAATAAACAAAACACTATGATGCATTAGAATTAATTATCGAAATGTAAAAAAATTTGTGTATTAAAAATATAACATTATTATTGATATATCATGTATATTATAAGAACTTGTGCAAAGCGGCAAAACAGAGTTTACCGGGTCAGCTAGTATATATATATATATATATATATATATATATCTTTCTCTTCTCTCCTTCTCTAGCTATCTATTCCTACTTTTTTCTCTCTTTTTTATATATTAGGGTGGTCCTTAATATGGACATTTTTGGAATCTCTTTGCTCCCAAGGTCTCAAATGCTTCTAAATTAATAAAAATAAATTATCTGAAAGTTTTAGCTTTTAATATCAACATGTAGATAGTCCGCAATTCAATTAAAAGTTTTGTATATCTATATGGCGCTATATCATAAGTATCTACTATTTTTTTCTTCTCTCTATATTTGTATTTATATTTTTTCTTTGTAGATTTATGACGTCCAAAGAAAAACCATTATCCTAGTCGTCAATACAGAAATTCAATTGTGGTCTTGCTGTTGGGATGGAAGCAACCCGAATTTATTTTATGTGGGCGGACAGTCTGGAACATTTTTGAAATTCGATTTAAATAATGCACAGGAGTGTCTGGATACGTTCAAGGTAAAATAAATAAAATTTCTATTCAATAAAGAAAAAATAGTGTGCGTGGTACGAAGCCTTAAAAATGTTTTTAAGGTCTCTAAGTATGATTTTTGGATAGTGCTTGTCGAGACCTTTCATTTGATACCCCACATGCCATACGTGACGTCACAACATCTTTACCCGCTGTACTTTATATAGTTCAGCAACCCATTGGTCCGCTTTCGTTACATCTCTTGTAACTTTTGAACCGTTTGTCTAAAATACATGGAATGTTCGGTGAACTTGTTCTAAATTAAAAGATTTTATAATGATCGTGTATAAAAACTTTAGAGCAACTTGGTATACTTTGAAATTACATTAAGATTGCATTATACAGAACCCTATTAATTTGTTAAAAATATCACTACGATATTTCAATAGTGCTTTTTGAGACCTTTTATTTGATACCCCACATGCCATATTTGACACCACAACATCTTTACCCATTGTGCTATTTATATTTCTGCAACCCATTGGTCCGCTTTTGTTACATCTCTTGTAACTTGTGAACCGTTCATCTGAGATAAATGGAATATTTTGTGAATTTGTTCTAAATTCAATTATATATTATTTTTTATAATATATTCAGACTCTACATCAACTTGGTGTACTTTAAATACTAAAATAGATATTAAAAGTTGATTAAAAATGGTTTATACGGAGCTCTATTTGTTTGTTGAGTCTACAAGTACGATTTTTGGTTAGTAGCCATTAAGACCTTTCATTTGATACCCTACATGCCATATTTGACATAATAACATTTTTACCCGTACTATATATAGTTCTGCAACCCATTGGTCCACTTTTTATTATATCTCTTGTGACTATATAACGATTTATAATTATGATAAATTATTTATATTTGTCCTCAAAATGTTTAAAAAAAGGGGTTTACTGACAAGAAAACTGAATAAGGACTTAAAAAATATTTAAGAAAAAAGGACTTTACTAGTGAGTAAATTAACCTTGTTCTTGTGAAAAAGTTGGGTAAAAAATTCACGAGAAAAAGAACTCTACTGACAAGCAAATTCGACTCAAAACTAAACTCGACTCGGACTTGACAAGAATAATAATAATTTGAAAAATAGACTCTACTGACGAGCAAATCAAACTGTCAGTCCAAAAATGCAATTCAAAACGTATTTGACAAGACAAATAATAAAATTTTACAAAAAAGGACTCTACTAACGAGCAAATTTAGAAAATAGCTAAGATATCTGTTTAAATAAGGAACTCTACGGACGAGCAAATTAAAATTATCAGTATAATATCGTTTTAAATAAAAATGAACTTTACTGACGAGCAATCTGAAACAAAGACCAAATAAATTATTTATTTTATTTTTAATGTCATTCTTATTCTTTCTTATTTTTAGTTTGCTTGTCAATAGACACTCTATTTTTTTTTATATTTAGTTTGCTCGTCAGTAGAGTGCCTTTTGTGTTTTATTTTCAGTGTGCTCGTCAGTGGAGTCCTTTTTGTCTTTTATTTCTAGTTTGCTCGTCAGTAGAGTTTCTTTTGTCCTTTATTTGCAACTTGTTTGTCAGTAGAGTCCCTTTTATATATTTTATTTTGGTTCTGCTCCTCAGTGGAGTCCCTTTTATATAATTTATTTTGGTTTTGCTCCTCAGTAAAGTCTCTTTTGTATTTTATTTGCAGTTCGCTTGTGAGCAGAGTCCCTTTTGTCTTTTATTTGCAATTTGCTCGTCAGTAGAGCCCCTTTTGTTTTTTATTTGCAATTTCCTGGTCACTAAAGTCCCTTTTTTAATTTTCAATTTGCTCGTCAGTCGAGTCACTTTTGTCCTTTTGCAGTTTGCTCGTCAGTAGAGTCGCTTTTATTTTTTATTTACAATTTGCTCGTCAGTAGAATCCCCTTTGTATTTTATTTGCAACTTTTTCGTCAGTAGATTCCCTTTTCTTCTTTTGCAATTTGATCGTCAGTAGAGTCCCTTTTGTCCTTTTGCAATTTGCTCGTCCCTTTTGTCTTGTAATTACAATTTTATTGTCAGTAGAGTCCTTTTTGTCTTTTATTTTCAATTTGCTCGTCAGCAGAGTCCTTTTTCCTAATTTTTAGAGTCCTTAACTTGGTCGTCAGTAGAGTTGTTTTTTCAGAATTTTGCAATTTGCTCGTCAGTAAACTCTTTTTTCGTAAATGATTGACTATTGTAATTGAATAAATTTTGATTGTCAGTAGAATTCATTTTTCTTTATTTAAATAAAAAAAATGTTTGCTTGCCAGTAGAGTCCTTAAGTCTATTTTTTTCTCATTACGATCTTTCGACAGTGCTCTTTGAGACCTTTCATTTGATACCCCACGAGCCTATATTTGAAGTAAAACTTCTTTACCCACTGTTCTATTTATAGTTCTGCAACCCATTGGTCCGCTTTTGTTACACCTTTTGTAACTTTTGAACCGTTTGTCCAAAATACATGGAATGTTCAGGGAATTTGTTCAAATTAAAAGATTTATAACACGATCGAGTATAGAAACTTTAGAGCAAGTTAATATACTCTAAAATTGCAAAAAATCACATTAAAAATGCATTATACAGAACACTATTTAATTGTTTAAATAGTTTTAAAATCTAATTTAAATTATTACTACGATATTTGAATAGTGCTCTTTGAGACCTTTCATTTGATACCCCACATGCCTATATTTGAAGTAAAACTTTTTAACCCACTATACTATTTACATCGAGCAACCCATTGGTTTACGTTTTATCAAATCTTTTGTAACTTTGTCATTTATTAAAATGATACATTTCTATTTCTTTTACCTTTTCAGCTCGATGACATGTCACCAGCCATTTCCATCCGTGCAGTTCCAGCCTCACCAGGTGCCCCTTTGCCCTACGGAGGAGTCTTAGTGTGCACCCTGAAATCCTGTTGGGTCGTGGACACAATCGATGAATCTAAGAAGACCTTCAAGTTGCCCTTCGAAGGCTCCTTTGTTAGTCTGTCCTACGACAGAAGTTCTGACCACATACTGATATCTGCGAGGCCCTGTTCCAAGTTCAAGAATTCGAGACACATCGTGGCCACTTTGGATAAAGTCGATGACATCATAACTGCTCGGGTGGTCCACGAATTTTTGGGAGGACAGTTTCAGGATGTTATGTCGAGATCGACACAGGTGAGGAAGATATTTGGATAGTGCTCGTCGAGACCTTTCATTTGATACCCAACATGCCTATATTTGAAGTAAAACTTTTTAACTCATATTTGGACCTGGCGCAATATTTGTTTATTTATTAAATTGGTTGTAACATCTAAACTGTTGTATCGATGTAAATGATGTCTTTGACAAATTTGTACGTCATAAAATTATCTACAATATTGCTGAACATTGTAATGACCTACAACAACTCGGTATACTTTAAATGCACAAAGTAAATTTAAACGAAATGTAGCCAAATCGGTTCAGTTGTCGGACTAAATTATGTGCTCGGAACCTTATTGGCTTCTTTTGTTTGTTACAATGATATTTGGATAGTGCTCGTCGAAACCTTTCATTTGATACCCAACATGCCTATTTTTGAAGTAAAACTTTTTAACTCATATTTGGACCTGGCGCAATATTTGTTTATTTATTAAATCGGTTGTAACTTCTAAACTGTTGTATTGATGTAAATGATGTCTTTGACAAATTTATACGTCATAAAATTATCTACAATATTGCTGAACATTGTAATGACCTACAACAACTCGGTATACTTTAAATGCACAAAGTAAATTTAAACGAAATGTAGCCAAATCGGTTCAGTTGTCGGACTAAATTATGTGCTCGGAACCTTATTGGCTTTTTTTGTTTGTTACTATGATATTTGGATAGTGCTCGTCGAAACCTTTCATTTGATACCCAACATGCCTATTTTTGAAGTAAAACTTTTTAACTCATATTTGGACCTGGCGCAATATTTGTTTATTTATTAAATCGGTTGTAACTTCTAAACTGTTGTATTGATGTAAATGATGTCTTTGACAAATTTATACGTCATAAAATTATCTACAATATTGCTGAACATTGTAATGACCTACAACAACTCGGTATACTTTAAATGCACAAAGTAAATTTAAACGAAATGTAGCCAAATCGGTTCAGTTGTCGGACTAAATTATGTGCTCGGAACCTTATTGGCTTTTTTTGTTTGTTACTATGATATTTGGATAGTGCTCGTCGAAACCTTTCATTTGATACCCAACATGCCTATTTTTGAAGTAAAACTTTTTAACTCATATTTGGACCTGGCGCAATATTTGTTTATTTATTAAATCGGTTGTAACTTCTAAAGTATTCAATTGATATAAATGATGTCTTTGACAAATTTGTACGTCATAAAATTATATACAATATTGCTGAACATTGTAATAACCTACAACAACTCGGTATACTTTAAATGCACAAAGTGAATTTAAACGAAATGTAGCCAAATCGGTTCAGTTGTCGGACTAAATTATGTGCTCGAAACCTTATTGGCTTCTTTTGTTTGTTACTATGATATTTGGATAGTGCTCGTCGAAACCTTTCATTTGATACCCAACATGCCTATATTTGAAGTAAAACTTTTTAACTCATATTTGGACCTGGCGCAATATTTGTTTATTTATTAAATCGGTTGTAACTTCTAAACTGTTGTAAATGATGTCTTTGACAAATTTGTACGTCATAAAAGTATCTACAATATTGCTGAACATTGTGATGACCTACAGTAACTCGGTATACTTTAAAGTAAATTTAAACAAATTGAGGCCAAATCGGTTCAGTTGTCGGACTAAATTATGTGCACGGAACCTTATTGGTTTCTTTGATTTTTTTACTATATTTGGATAGTGCTCCTCGAGACCTTTCATTTGATACCCAACATGCCTATATTTGAAGTAAAACTTCTTAACTCGCATTTGACCAGCTGTACTATTTATAGTATGACAATACGTTTGTGTGTATTTATTTATTAAAACGTTTGTAACTCTTAAACAAATCGTTTGACGCAAATAAAATATTCGGCAAAAACGTTCTATATTCAATTGTCTATAATTGTACTTGGTATCAATCCTTAAATCAACTCGGTACACTTTAAAATTGCAATAGAAACCTTCAAATTAGTTTAAAATATTGGATATACGTAGTTGTACGGAACCCTATTGGACAGTTTTGGACGTCACTGACGTATTTGAATAGTGCTCGTCGAGACCTTTCATTTGATACCCAACATGCCTATATTTGAAGTAAAACTTCTTAACTCGCATTTGACCAGCTGTACTGCTTATAGTACGGCAACTCGTTTGTGTATTTATTTGTTAAATCGGTTGTAACTTTTGAACTATTTGTCGTAGAGCAGTGAAATATTCGACAAACTTTTACAAAATTAAATGATGTATAAAATTGTCTAATGTGGTAAAACTCTAAATCGACTCGGTTTAATATAAAATACGTAACCTGATTGTTTTGTTAAGACTTTTAACATGATTTTTGAATAGTGCTTTTTGAGACCTTTCATTTGATACCCCACATGCCATATTTGACGTCACAAAATCTTTACCTGCTGTACTGTTTATAGTTCTGCAACCCATTGGTCCACTTTTGTTACATCTCTTGTAACTCTTGAAGCGTTCGTCCAAATGGAATGAAATATTCGGTGAACTTGTGCTAAATTAAATTGTCTATAATATTGTAGTCTAGAAACCTTACAGCAAGCCAGTATACTTTAAATAGTAAAAAATGATATTAGACATTGAATAAATAGGTTGTAGGAAACCCTATGGATTTTTTAAAATTGTGAATGTGGTATTTCGATAATTTTTATGAAGACCTTTTATTTGAACTTCACATGGCATATTTTATGTGACATCATCTCATGCAAATACAAACTCGTGTATGTATTTTTTTTGAAAATAACTTTCCGTAGGCCTATAATATTTTATAATGTCCAATGAAGGGATAATTTTAATAAATTCTCGCAGTATATGCTCACGTTTTTGTCAGAAATTCCTATTTTTTCATTTTTTCTGGGATTTCGTTACTTTTTCTTTGAATTTGCTCATCAGAAGAGTTGTTTTTTCTAATTTGCTCGTCAGTCGAGTTTCTCTTCTAATTTTTCTGATTTAGATTGTCAGTAGAGTTCTTTTTCTTTTTTTAAAATCAGGATTTGGTTTGTTCGTCATTAGTGTTTTTTTCTAATTTTTCTGAATTTGATCGTTAGTAGAGTTCTTTTTTATATTTTTCTATTTGGATCGTTAGTAGAGTTCTTTTTTCACTTTTAAAATCAGGATTTGATATGCTCGTCAGTAGAGTTCTTTTTACTAATTTTTCTTAATTTGGTCGTCACTAGAGTTTTTCTTTCTACTTTTTCTCAAGTTGCACCGTCAGTAGAGTTTTTCTTTCTATTCTTTCTGATTTATATTGTCAGTAGAGTTCTTTTTCTAATTTTTCAGATTTTGCTCGTCAGTAGAGTTCCTTTTTCTAATTTTTCTCAATTTAATCGTCAGTAGTGTTCCTTTTTCTACTATTTTCGGAATTTGCTCTTCAGTAGAGTTCTTTTTTTTCTAATTTTTCAGATTTCTATCGTCAGCAGATTTTTTTTTCTATTTTTTCCGATTTTGCTCGTTAGTGGAGTTCTTTTTTTCTATTTTTTTTTAATTTCTAGAGTTCTTTTTCTAATTTTTCACGTTTCCATCATCAGTAGAGTTCTTTTTTCTACTTTTTTATTTGGATCGTTAATAGAGTTATTTTTCTTATTTTAAGATAAGGATTTGATTTGCTTGTCAGTAGAGTTCTTTATTCTAATTTTCCAATTTTGATCGTCAGTAGAGTTCTTTTTCCTTTTTAAATCAGGATTTAGTTTACTCGTCAGTATAGTTGTTTTTTGTTAGCTTGTTAGTAGAGTTCTTCTTAAATTTAATTTTCAGTTTGTTCGTCAGTAGAGTCCCTTTTGTCTTTTATTTTTAGTTTAGTCGTCAGTAGAGTTCTTTCTTGCCATTTTTGAGTTTGTTGGACAGCAGCTTCTTTTTAAATTTTATTTTTGGGTTTTCTCGTCAGTTGAGTCTATTTCTTTCTTCTTATTCTCAGTTTGTTCGTCAGTAGAGTCCCTTTTGTCTTTTATTTTCAGTTGCTATTGCTTTTGCTCGTCAGTAGAATTTTTATTAGAAAGTAATTTTCGGAGAAAATTCTGATAGATTTGTACTTACTGTTCGTAAGACGAGATTGAATTCGCGTTTCAGTGGAGTCCTTTACAAAATATTTCATATGTACTAAAAATAAAAGTATTTAGGTAACGCTTACCATGCACACCCAGCCTAAGCAAAACCGTATGGAAAACCTCTGCGTTAGGCTCGGACAACACGGCAAGCATTCGTAAAATTTGCACAAAACTTGCAAATATTCATCTTTTTTCTTTTTATTATTTATCTTATCTATATTTCTTTTTTCTTATCTTTTCAAGATAATCTTCAACAACGAACACTACGTGGCAGTCTACGACAACCACTACAAGAGCTACATCATCTGGAGTATGAAAACCGAGAAGAAGGTCAAGACGCTGCCAGTGTCGAATCCCGTTCTCGATCTGTGCGCAGCACAAGTCGAATCGAATATGTATCTTTTAGCACTAACCGAGACCTCTTTGTATTTGTATAGGACGAGAGTGGTCGTTTGATAATAGTAATAATAATAATAATAATAGTAATAATAGTAATAATAATAATAATAATAATAATAATAGTAATATAATAATAATAATATTATTATTATTATTATTATTATTATTATTTAGAGTTGTGTATATATTAGTTTGTAATAATTGTAATTTTACCCGATTTAATTCTGTACAAATTAAGCTAAGGCAATATTTTTATACGAACTGATGATAATAAAAAAGAATATTGAACTGAAATGTTTTTTATAATGAATGGAATTAGGTAAATGTAAGACAAGAAGGGACTCTACTGACGAGCAAACTGATTTTAAAAGACAAAAGGACTCTACTGACGAGCAAACTGATTTTAAAATATAAAAGGGACTCTACTGACGGGCAAACTGATTTTAAAAGACAAAAGGGACTCTACTGACGGGCAAACTGATTTTAAAAGACAAAAGAGACTCTACTGACAGAGCAAACTAAAAATAGAGGACAAAAGGGACTCTACTGACGAGCAAACTGATTTTAAAAGACGAAAAAGAACTTTACTGACGAGCAAACTCAAAAAAAAATTGAATCAAAAAGACTCTGCTGACGACCAAACTCAAAAAAGTTATGGGCAAAAGGGCTCTACTAACGAGCAAATTCAAAAAAAAAATGGAGCAAAAGGACTCTACTAACGAGCAAACTTAAAAAAATGGACTAAAAGAACTCTACTGACGTGCAAACTCAAAAAAAAAGACAAAAGGGACTCTATTGACGAGCAAACTGATTTTAAAAGACAAAAGGGACTCTACTGACGAGCAAGCTCTAAAAGGGGACTCTACTGACGAGTAAGCTCAAAAAAATAAAAAAGAGACTTTACTAAAAAGTAAATTCATAAAAATTAGGATCAAAAGGACTCTACTGAGGAGCAAACTCAAAAAAATGGGAGCAACAGAAACTCTACTGACGATCAAACTGAAAATAAAACATAAAAGGCACTCTACTGACGAGCAAATTAAAAATAAAACATAAAAGGGACTCTACTGACGAGCAAATTGAAGAAAATCAGAGCAAAGAGACTCTACTGCCAAGTTTAGAAAAAAATTAGGAGCAAAAGGACTGTACTGACGAGCAAATTCAGAAAAAGGATTCTACTGACGAGCAAACTCAAAAAAATTCGGACTAAAAGGACTCTACTGACGAGCAAACTAAAAAAAATGGAGCAAAAGGACTCTACTGATGAGCAACAAGCTCAGAAAAAGCTAAAATTTAAGTATAAAAAAGGACTCTACTGACGAGAAAATTAAAAAAAAAAGACAAAAGGCACTCTTAGACAAGCAAACTCGAAAAAATCAGGAGCAAAAGGACTCTACTGACGAGCAACCTCAAAAAAAAAACGACTGTCGAGCAAACTCAAAAAAAGTACTCTACTGGTGAGCAAACTGAAAAAAAAACAAGGACAAAAAGAACTCTACTGATAAGCAAATTGGAAATAAAACATAAAAAGGACTCTACTGACAGAGCAAACTAAAAATAGAGGACAAAAGGGACTCTACTGACGAGCAAACTGATTTTAAAAGACGAAAAAGAACTTTACTGACGAGCAAACTCAAAAAAAAAAAAATGAATCAAAAAGACTCTGCTGACGACCAAACTCAAAAAAGTTATGGGCAAAAGGGCTCTACTGACGAGCAAACTCAAAAAAGGGACTTTACTGACGAGCAAACTGAAAATTAAAAAAAGAACTCTATTGACGAGCAAACTCAAAGTTCTCAATTTTGGAGAAAAATGACTCTACTGAGGAGGAAACTTAAAAAAATTGGAACAAAAGTGACTACTACTGACAAGGAAACTCAAAAAAAATGTTGGGGCAAAAGGACTCTACTGACGAGCAAACTCAAAAAAAACTACTGTCGAGCAAACTTCAAAAAAAAAACGACTCTCGAGCAAACTCAGAAAAAGGACTCTACTGAAAAGCAAATTTAGAACAAACTAGAAAAGGAACTCTACTGATGAGCAAACCAAAAAAAAATTAGGGCTAAAAGGATTCTACTGACGAACAAACTCAAAAAAATATGAAAAAGGACTCTACTCACGAACAAACTTAAAAATGCTAAAATATAAGTTTGAAAAAATGGCTTAACTGACAAACTCAAAAAAAAAATTAGAGCAAAGGGATTCTACTGACGAGCAAACTCAAAAAGGAAATTGGACCAAAAGGACTCTACTGACTGACGAGCAAACTGAAATAAGAAACAAAAACTGTCGAGCAAACTAAATTTAAAAACCAAAAAAGATTTTACTGACGAGCAAATTAAGAAAAAAATAGAAAAGGGACTCTACTGACAAGCAAACTGAAAATAAAGGACTAAACGGATTCTAATTTTTTTTGAATATCTTAATCTTTAAATAAATAGATAAATAAGTAAATAAATAAATAAATGCGATAATAGATAAATAAATGAATGACTGCATAAATATTTAAAATAATAGATTATAAAATAAATGCATGAATAAATGAATAAATAAATAAATACAAGAATAAAAAGATAAATAAATAGACAAATAAATAAATAAATGAATAACTAAATAAATGAATGAACAAATAAACAAATGAATAAATAAATGACTAAATAATTTAATAAATAAATAAATGAATGAATGAATGAATAAGATGTCAAATAAATAAGTAAATTATAAAACAAATAAATTGATGAATAAATAAATAAATAAGTAAATAAATGAATAAATAAATAAATTAATACATGAATAAGAAATAAATAAATAAATAAAAGAATGAATAAATAAATGAATGGATAAATTATTAAATAAATGAATAAATACATGAATAAAAAATAAATTATTGAATTAATAAAATTAATAAATAACTAAATAAATAAATAAATACTTGAATATAAAATAAATTATAAAATATATGAATATATACATAAATAAATAAGTAAATAAATAAATAATTAATAAAAAAGTAATAAATAAATAAATAAATGAATAAATAGATGAATAAATAAATAACTAAATAAATGAATAAACAAATAAATGATTAAATACATGAATAAATGTATAATTAAATGAATAAATAAACATTAGAATAAATAAGTAAATAAATAAATAAATGAATGAAGAAATAAGTAAATAAATAAATAAATGAATGAATGAATAATTCAATAAACAAATAAATGATTGAATACATGAATAAATGTATAATTAAATGAATAAATAAACATTGGAATAAATAAGTAAATAAATAAATAAATGAATGAATGAATAATTCAATAAATAAATAAATAAATGAATAAATTATAAAACAAAAAAAAATACATGAATAAATAAATTATAAAATAAATAAATACATAAAAAACAATTAAGTACATGAATAAATAAATAAATAAATAAATAGATAAATGAATAAGTAAATAAATAAATAAATAAAATTTAATAAATAACTGAATGAATGAATAAATAAATAAATTATAAAATAAATAAATAAATATATGAATAAATAAATAAATAAATGAATAAAAGTTTAATGAATAACTTAATGAATAAATAAACAAATAAGTTATGAAATTAATGAATAAAAAATATATAAATAAATAATTATACTTATAAATAGACGAATAAATAAAAAATAAATAAATAGGCGAATAAATAAATAAATAAATAGATAAATAAATATATAAATACACGAACAAAATAAATACATAAATAAATAATTTAATGAATAACTGAATGAATAAATAAATAAAGAATCATGAAATAAAAGAATAAATAAATAAAAAAATGACTAAATGAATGAATAAATCAATAAATAAATAAATGAATAAATATATGAAAATAAAAAATTATTAAATCAATGAATAAATGTAAGAAAATATAAATAATTAATTAATAGTTGAATAAATAAATAAATCAAAAATAGACGAATAAATAAATAAATAGACAAATAAATAAATAAATAGACTAATAATAAATACATGAATAAATAAATAATTTATTGAATAAATAAATGAATGAATTATAAAATAAATGAATAAACATATAAATAAATGAGTAAGTATAAAATAAATAATTAAATAATTTAAAATGAATAACTAAATGACTGAACAAATGTACAAATAAATAAAATCAATAAATAAATAAATAAATAACTGAATTAGTAAATAAATGAATAAGTAAGTAAGTAAATATAATATATAAATAAATAAAATACATAAACAAATAATTATATACAAACACACACGCACATATATATATATACATACATTTATATCTATATTAATATATACATTTTAAATTTAAATTCAAAAATCCCGCGGCGCAAAACAGTATTGCCATCTTCGTTTCAAACTTCACACCTAAAAACCAAACCAAATTTTTCTCTCACATCTTTCTCTCACTGACAGTTGCAAAGATGTCGGCTACTAGGTTAAAATATCTCTTAACAAACAATTTATACAACTTTTCACGCATATCCACGGCTTTAAATCATGTCAACAAAGTCGCAGAAACAGCTAATGTATAAAATACAAATTTTATATAACAAATATTTGTGTGTTTATCAATTTTACATGTTGTGCAATTTTTAGGTTAGGTTGTATTCCTCAGAAGAGAAACAACAAGATAATGTTTCTGTTGGCGTTAAAGAGGATATAAGTAAGGCTATGAAAGCTTATTTGCAAAGGGCTAGAGAACATGATGAATTTATGGAACAGGAGAGGCATGAATATCAGATCGGCAAGAGGCATTTGGCTAATATTATGGGAGAGGATCCTGAGACGTTCACACAGGAAGATATAGATGTAATAATAATAGAAATATACACATGTATATATATATATATATATATCAGTATATATATCAGTATCTATTATAATTTTATTTCCTTCTCCAGAGATCTATTCAATATCTCTTCCCCTCCGGTCTCTTCGACCCGAGAGCCAGACCGATAATGAGGCCCCCGGAAGAAGTTTTTCCTCAAAGAAAGGCTGCAGAGTTTGATGAAACCGGCAGACCGTTTCATAGCTTGTTTTATACAATGAGACCGAATTTTTATCAACTTTTATATGTAAGTAATAAAATTACAATATTTTGATTTATTTTCTAAATTTATTTTTGCACATTTTAAACAAAAAAATGAATTTAAATTCAAATAGTTTTGAATATTTTACAAAAATGATTATTATAATAATAATTTTGTTTAATCAATTTGATTAATATTCAAATTAAAACTAAAATTAAAAAAATAAAAATTGACATCTTATAGATTTAATTTTAAAACTATTTCAATATTTGATGTTAACACATTTTTTTGTTTGAACATTTTTTTTTAGTCAATTTTGTTTTAAGAGTTTTAAATTTTATATACAGATTTAAAGATAATTTTATTAGCTTTCTAATGACATATAATAATTATATTTTCTAAAAACATTTTAAGTAATTTTATATTTTTGCAGGAATAGTTTTGAAAATTTTATAAAAACGAGTATGATTTTGTTATATAAATTTCATCAAAATTAAAATTAAAAAATTAAAAATGACATCTTATAGATTTAAATAAAACTAATTCAGTATTTGTTGTTAACACATTTTATTATCTGAACATTTTTTTTTAGACAATTTTGTTCTAAGAGTTTTAAATTGTTACAGATTTAAAGATAATTTTGTTAACTTTCTAATGATATATAATAATAAATACTTTTTTGAACAAATTATTTAAGAAAAGCATAAAATTATAAAAAAAAATGTAACCATATTTAAAAATAGATGCATAGATGCAATTATAAAAAAAAATGTAACCATATTTAAAAATAGATGCATAGCACTTGATGTAAACACTAATATCTTTAATAATTAATAATTAAAAACTAAACGTTACAAATTGTTATATACAGATTTGTAGATAATTTTATTATCTTTCTTCTGATATATAATACTAATAATTAATTTAATTAAATTTAAACAAAATGAATATAAATTTAAATCAAAGTGTTGAAGCTAAAATAATGGAGCGCTTAATTTCAAAGTTTAACGAATTATTTTTATATAATTTTGTTACAACAGTTACAAATTGTTATATACAGATTTGTAGATAATTTTATTAGCTTTCTAATAGTATATAACACTAATAATATATTTAAATAAATTTAAACAAAATAAATATAAATATAAACCAAAGCGTTGAGCTGAAACAATATGGGCGTCTTAGGAAGATTTAAATTTCAAAGTTTGAATAATTATTTTTATATAATTTTGTTTCGACAGTTACAAATTGTTATATACATATTTATAGACAATTTTATTAACTTTCTAATGATATATAATAATAAATAATTCTTAATTTAACAAATTATTCAAGAAAACCATAAAAATATAAAAAATGTAACCATATTATTTTATAAATAGATGCATAGCACTTGATGTGAACACTAAAATTTAAACAATTTTTTAAATATAATTTTGTTCTAAGGATATATAAATAAATGCTCATATTTAAATATTTTATTAAAAATTTGAGTCAAATATCAATAAATGTTTCTCGACAAATTGAATTATCAAATCTAGCTATGGTTAGTTTGTATTTTTTTTACAAATATTATTATAAAGAGTGTTCAGATATCAGTCGGTAATTATTGAGTCACAAATAGTCGTTTATATTAAAAATAAAATAATTATAAAGTTCAAGAATACAATTCTAATATTATTCTTTTATTGTAGTTATTAAATCCTAAATTTTAAACGGTTTTTTAAATTTAGTGTTGTTCTAAATATTTCAAATTGTTATAAACGTGTACTTATATAAATAATTTCATTAACTTTTTATGTTATATAATAATATATAACAATATTTTTTTAATATATTTGAAATTTGAATTTTGAAATCTCAACGCTTATTACAAACGCGCGAACTTCACACTCAAAGTGATTTCTTCAACCCTTATGTGCAGTAATTTTATTTCAACTCGGTTTGTTATTCAAATTTAAAATTTAAACAATTTTTTTTATATAATTTTGTTCTGAGAGTTGTAAATTGTTATATACAGTTTTGTAGATAATTTTATTAGCTTTCTAATTATATATAATAATATATTTATTTTCAAACAAATTATTGACAAAATTGATCATTATGTAAAAAAATGTAACCGGTAGATATTTCAGTTTACCAAATTTGGTATTGTTTTGACGTCAGTATTCGATTATACAGTTTAAACGATTTCTTAAATACAATTTTGTTCGAAACTATTTAAATTGTTATATACAGATTTGTAGATAATTTAATTAGCTTTCTAATGATATATAATAATACATATGTGTTGGAACAAATTTAAACAATATAAACGTGAATATGTAACCGAATACAAAATAAACTCCTTATAATTACAAGCAACTATAAGTTCACTTTCAAAATTTAAACAATTTTTTAAATTAAATTTTGTTGCAAACGTTACAAATTGTTATATACAGATTTGTAGATAATGTTATTAGCTTTCTCACAATATATAATAACATATATGTTGTATAACAAATTTTTACTAATATAAAATTAAGTATAAAAAAATGTAACCAATGAAATTCTACAATGGCTAATAACTAGATACTAAAATTTAAACTTTACAGATTTTTAACTTCCCGAAGGAGAAGTTTATGTTTTCATCAAAAAATCCGATTCACTAATTTTATTTTTTCTTGACGTTTCAAGCCATTCTGAATCGAATGAGACCAAATTTGGAAAAAGTATGTGTGTGTGTGTGTGTATGTGAACAGATTTTTTGCCGTAAATCGACGTTTTCTCGAAAACGGCTGGGCCGATTTCAAAAATTTAAAAACCATTTGATGTATCTCGACGAGAACTATTGTTCGTCAGTTTTGTAAGACGATCGGCCAAGCCGTTTCTTTATAAATCGCAGAAAAGTGAAAAATTTTTCGTCTATGTTTTAGCCCGCAATTCTGAATCGATTTTGAAAATTCAAAAACCGTTCGAAAGATATTTGTTGGGAATCGTGCTGATTAGTTTTTGGTAGAGATCGGCCGGGCCGTTTTCTTGTAATAATGTTTTAAAAAAAAAATTCGACGATTTTTATGATTATTTTTTTGACGGTAGATACTATAGTCTTCTAGATCATACTAAAATATTACGGTCCTACGACAATTGGTTTAGCTTTAAAAATTCGTCAAAGTTTGCAAAAATTAGTATGGTCTTTTTGGCATTTGTCAAAATTAGAAGTTTTATCGACGTTTGCTCAAAAACGCCTGAACCGATTTCAGATATTTAAAAAGCATTTGATGTATCTCGATGAGGATTATCGTTTCTCAGTTTTGTGCGACGATCAGCCGAGCCGTTTCTTTGCAATTTGAAAAAAAGTGTTAAACCTTTCGTCCACATTTAAGTTCATCCTACCGAACCGATTTTAAAAAATCAAAAATTGTTCGAAAGATATTAGTTGGGAATGGTACTGGTAAATTTTAGGTGAAAATCTACCGAGCCGTTTTCTTGTAATTAACTGTTGAAAAAAAAACTTAAGCCGATTTTTATGGAATTTTTTTTAGCGATATATACCATGGTCTTATAGAACATACTGAAATATTACGGCCTTACGACAAGTAATTTAATTTTAAAAATTCGTAAAACTTTGCTAAAATTATTATCGTTTTTTTAAAAGTAGGATTGATTAAGTATATTATTTACACATTTTTTTTGATTAAGTCGATTAGTTACACATATCGGAAAGTTCATGTAACTTGCCTCAAGGCTAAATACCAAACCAACTAGTTTATATTTAATTTTGTTCCAAAAGTTATTAAACGTTATATACGGATCTGTAGATAATTTTATCAGCTTTCTAATGATATATAACACTATTCATATATTTTAATTACATATATTATATTTACAGGATATTGCCGAACACATAAATAATTTACACAAATTCCAAGACCAAATGATTAGGAAAGGACAAAAACCAGATCCGTCACAAGTAATGTAAGTAGAAGAAAATACTTTATATATATATATATATATATATATATATATATATATATATATATATTTTTTTTTTTCCAGAGATACTTCAGGTTCGGTCTGGTTAGGCAAAGAAGCCCTAGAAGATATGGTTTTAGAACAATTAATAGACAAAGAGTATAATAATTTCGTTAGTGCCATGGATCGTCTGGTCGCCGAGCCTTATTCTTATAGAATTAAAGACTTTATTGAAAAATTTAGAAAGCCTTTGATGAGCCAAACCAAGACTTATGAAGTTCCTAAAGTCAAATACGGGGAGGATGGACGAGCTTATATTACCACTTATGGTAAGTAGAAATATATATTTTTAAAGTTTTCTAATGTAATTTTGAAGTACACCGAGTTGCTGTAGGGTTTTGAGGTCTTAGACAATATTGTAGATTATTTAATTTTAAATAAAATCGCCAAATACATCATTCATATTAAACAAATAGTTTAGAAGTTACAAGGACGAAACAAAACTAAATCATTTGTACACAACTTTGCTTCCGCCGTTTTCACTATGCGAGTCCTTCACAATAATGGCGGATGCAAAGTTGTATGTTAAATATTTATCTTTGAAAGAGTTTTTAGAGTATACCGAGTTGCTCTAGAGCACTGTTATATTAGACAATATTGTTAATTATTTAATTCTATATAAATTTGCCAAATACATCATTCATATTAAACGAATGGTTTTGGATTTATGAAACTCATAAAAAGTACATACTCTATTAACGTGCTGATATTAATGTTGCGTTTTTAATTTATTTTTTAAGGCATACTGAGTTGCTTTAGGGTCTTGGTTTATAAGAAAACATTATAGCTTATTTATTTTTATACATATTTACTGAATATTTCATTTATTTCGGACGGACGGTTCAAAAGTTACAAGAGATTTATTAAATAATTGCACCCGTCAATCCACTACTATTGATTGAGACGTACTATAAATAGTGCAGTGGGCTTAATTTTGGAAAATGCACGTGGGGTATCAAATGAAAGGTCTCAACAAGCACTATGTAAATACCATAGTAAAAATTTTAATAAATTAATAAGGTTCCGTACAAAACATTTTTTTAGTATTTAAAATCAAATTTTTGTCATTTTAAAGTATACAGAGTTGATGTAGGGTTTTGATATATTAGACAATATTGTTCATAATTTAATTTTGAACAAATTTGCCGAATATTTTATTTCAATCGGACGAACGGTTCAAAAATTGCAAGAGATTCCATAAAAGGTAGACCAATGGGTTGCCGAATAATTTGTCACGTGAAATATATCATGTGGGGTATCAAATGAAAGGTCTCGACGAGGACTATTTAAATATCATAGTAAAAATCTGAATAAATTAATTGGGTTCCGTACAAAACTTTTTTTTAGTATCTAAAATCAAATTTTTGTCATTTTAAAATATATAGAGCTGCTATAGGGCATTGATATATTGGACAATATTGTTCATAATTTAATTTTTAACAAATTTGCTGAATCTTATCTTTATATATAATAATTAAATATATTTAAACTGATTAGCAGCTCATTTGTTGAATTAAAGAAGAGTCAAAAGAAATATATTTCCTATTAATTATACGTTTCGATACTGGATATGTGTCATCATTCAGTTAAAATCTAGAATACTTCATAACAATGAATCATTAATATTTTAATATTAATATTCGAATGACAACTGAATCGATACATGTCCACAACTTATTATAGGCCTATAATATTTTATACTGTCGAAAGAAAGAAATTTAATAAATTCTCGAAGGATGTTTATGTTTTTGTCAGAAAATCCGATTTGATAATTTCATGTCATTTAATAATAATTTGATAATTTCTGAAGTCATTCTGAATCGTTTGATTTTGAACGTAACTAGAGTTTTTAATTTCAATTTTTATAATTATAATCGTCAGTAGAGTTCTTATATTCCAATTCGAATGTCAGTAGAGTTTTTTTATTCTAGTTTTTGAGATTTTGGACGCCTGTAAGGTTTTCTTTTTCTATTTTTTGCTGATTTTGGTTGTCAGAGTTTTTTTATTCTAATTTTTTTTTATTTTGATCGTAAATAGTTTTTGTTGCTATTTTTTCTGATTTTGAACGTTAGTAGAGTTTTTTTATTTTCATTTTTGAGATTTCAATTATCAGTAGAGTTTTTTTATTCCAATTTTCCTGATTTCAATCGTCAGTAGAGTTTTTTTATTATATTTTTTTTTTAATTTGAAGTTTTTTTCTGCTATTTTTCTGATTTTGATGTCAGTAGTGTTTTTTTTCTAATTTTTGAGATTGTAAACGTCATTAGAGTTCTTTTTTTTCTAATTTTTTAGATTTTGATTAGTAGAGTTTAATTTATTCTAATTTTTGAGATAATGATCCTCGGTAGAGTTCTTTTTTCTATTTTTTTTAGATTTTGAACGTTAGTAGAATTTTTTTTTTATTCTAATTTTTCTATTTTGAACGTCAGTAGAGTCCTTTTTTTTCAATTTTTTTTATTTTTGAACGTCAGAAAGGTTTTTTTTAATATTTGAGATTTTAATCATTAGTAAATTGATCTTTGTTTCTATTTTTCTTATTTTGAACGTCAGTACAGATTTTTCCTAATTTTCTTTTTACTTTTGAACGCCAGTAGAGTTCTTTTATTCCATTTTTTTAGATTTTGATCGTCAGTACAGTTCTTTTTTCTGATAATTCTGATTTTTCTTATTTTTATCGTCAGTAGAGTTCTTTTACTCTAATTTTTTAAATTTTGAACTCTACTGACATTCTTTTTTTATAATTCTTGAGATTTTGAACGTCAGTAGAGTTCTTTTCTTCTAATTTTTTAGATTTTGTGAACGTCAGTAGAGTTCTTTTATTCTAAATTTTCAAATTTTGATAGTCAGTAGAATTTTTTATTCTAATTTTTCAGACTTTGTCAGTACACTTTTTTCTATTTTTTGAGATTTTGAACGTCTTTTTTTATTTTAATTTTTGTGATTTTTATCGTCAGTAGAGTTCCTTTTTTTCTTCTTTGTTTATTCTTTTCTTTTTTGTTTTAGAGTGTTTGAGAAAAAGAGCAAGAGGTGATGTTACAATTCGATCACCCGGTACTGGAAAAATCACAATTAACGGGGAGGATATTTCATATTTTAAGGATACACAGCCTCGAGAACAGGTACTGTGCTTATAACTATAATTTATTTACACATAGTATATATATATATATATATATATATATATAATTCATGAATTTATTCAACGTTCAAACATTCTTGATGGTTGAATTTTTCCTCAGCTAAATTGTCAAAACAGAAAACAATATGTGTTTTATTTTCTTTGCTTCGACACTGTGTGATTATCATTATTCAACAAGTTTTGAAAAATTGCATAATTATAAACTACTGATTTTCTAAAAAAAATTTGTATTAAAATATCTAACAAAAACAAAAATGTGATTCTAATCATATATAATACATTTGCAAAATGAATCTGAAATTTAACAAATAATTTTAAAAGCACAAAAATAATTTGAGTGAAATATACTTTCTTTTATTTCCATTGACTTCTTCAAGAAGTTTGCCAGAAAATCCGATTTGCTATAATCATATTTTTATATATATTTGACAGAAAATCCGATTTGATACTTTTGTGCTTTCTGAAGTGCTTGATACCGAAATGGCATTCTTTATTCTAATTATAATATTTTTCTGATTTTGATTGTTAGAGTTTTTTTCTTTTAATTTTTCTGACTTTGATCGTAAGCAGAGTCCTTTTTATTTCAATTTAAATGTCAGTAGAGTGTTTTATTCTAGTTTTTCAGATTTTGATCGTCTGTAGAGTCCCTTTTTTTTTTTTTTTTTTGGTTTTGAGCATCAGTATAGAGTCCTTTTGTTTAATTTTTGAGATTTTGAACGTCAGTAGAGTTTTCTTTTTCTTTTTTTTGCTGATTTTGAACGTCAGTAGAGTTTTTTCTAATTGTTCTGATTTCAATTGTCAGTAGAGTTCTTTTATTCCAATTTTTATGATTTTGAACGTCAGTACAGTTCTTTTATTCTAATTTTTGAGATTTTGATCGTCACTAGAGTTCTTTTTTCTTCAATGACATTTTAGAGAAAAACTAATATTATAAGTTTGCTCATTAGTAGTGTTCGTTTTTAATTGGTTTAGAAATTGCTCGTCAGTATATTTCTTTATTTTTCTAATTGTTCTAAATTTGCTCGTCAATACAGTTCTTTATTCCTATTTTTTTGAAATTTGTACAGATTCTTTTAACAAAAAAAGTTTATTTTGGTCGTCAGTAGAGTTATCTTTTTAAACTGGTATTTATTTCTGAATTTGCTCGTCAGTAGAGTTCTATTTTGTATCTAATCTTCTTTTTTTTTTCAAATTCAATTTGCTCGTCAGTAGTATTCTTTTTCTTTCCTTTTTTGAAATCAGGAATTAGTTTACATTTGCAAATTATAATTGATTGATAAGTTTACAAATCAGGATATATAATACATTTGCAAAATGAATCTGAAATTTTACAAATAATTTCAAAAACACAAAAATAATTGGAATGAAACATACTTTCTTCTATTTTCATTGACTTCTTCAAGAAGTTTGCCAGAAAATCCGATTTGCTATAATGATATTTTATATATATTTGAAAATTGAAAAGACTATGTGCACATGTTAATATATTATTAATAGATAATATAATTAATAAATATAATTTTTATTATAATTAAAAGAGTCTCTAGTATATAAAAAATTATATTGGAACGGTTTTCTGAAATTTTGCTTTGGAATATGCTATACTAATTTCCATACGATAACAATAAGAATTTATCAATTTTATTCGACAAATTTGTGAAATCTCATATTGGAAAATAGTTTTTATCACAAATAATACTTTTCAATTCCAATTAATCCAATTAATTATCGTTATTTAACTTCCTGAAGTAGAATTTTGGTGTCACCAAAAAAATCCGGTTCTCCAATTGTTTTCTCTCAAGTCGTTCTGAATCGTTTGACACCAAAAATGGTAAAAGTACGTTTGCATGTTAAAATTAGACCTTTTATCGACGCTATTTAAAAATGGCTGGGTCGTTTTTTTAGAATTTAAAAATTTAAAAACTTTTCAAAAGATTTTAGTGTGACTCGTATTTATTTTTGGTAAGAATCGATTGGGTTGTTCCTTCGTTTTTTTTAATTGATAAAGTGATTTGATTATTGGATAGGAATTGAATAATGATGACCTATTGTTAATTATGTAATAGTAATGTTTCCGTTTTTTAATATGCGGAAATTAACGTTTGATTCGATTGAACTTGTAATTGTAATTAAATTCTTCTGAAATTATGTAATACACGGAAATTGGGTACGCCCTCGAAATTAACAAAATACTAGCTGACCATTTTAGAATTTATAATACATTTTGCCTCTTCTTTGGTACAATCATATCAATATCATATTCCAAAAATAAATAGAATTAATTTCTATTTTTTTTTCAAATAAAAAAATAGAATTATTGTTTTTAATTTGAATGCTGAGCACTCATCTAATGTAAATTTCTGATGTCGGATAGTAATATTTAATTAACAATAATAAATATTGAGACGAATAATTAGGATAAAAACTATATAATATCCTAAGTTGAACCATCTTATAAATGGTTCCAAAATTTTTATCAAAATCGGTTTAGTAGTTTCAGAGTTTATCGCGGACATGTATCGTGACACAAAGTTTTCAATTTATTTATTTATTTTTTCGCCAATCGGCTTAGTACGATATATCGTACGATATATTTGTATAAAATATCTTTCATATTTATATCAATTTTATAAATTCCGGCTTGCCAACAGATGAGTTTTTGAATTATAATTATACATATATCAATGACGAATTCGTTTTTTTTTTCAATTTTGTTTAAAAAATAAATCATTTTCATTGTCGCCATAAAGATAACAATTATTGTTGACGGGAGCGAACGACGTTTCTGTTTGATTTCAGATCAAAAATTAAGATAAAGTTAGATAATAACTATAGGTATCTTTTTCAAATTGAATATACGGAATATATATGTAATTTATGTATATATTATATACTGATTTTTTTTGTACGTTTCGATACGATACGCGTGTCATCATTCAGCAGTTCATACCTAAAAGAAACATAAAAAATAAATAGAATATTTTTGTAGTCAATAGCAAAACATAAAACCCTAAAAAATAAGCTAAAACACAGGTCACAAGCGGATATTGAAGTTCATATTGATACGTCTTCCTATTTGATACATTTCTACAAAAGTCTCTTTGTTTACTTTGCTCGTCAGTAGAGTCCCTTCTCTTTCATTTTTTTCTGAAGATGAAATTTAGTTTACTCGTACTATTTGCAAAATTTAAATAATAAAAAACAATATAAAAAAACTCTACTGACGAGCAAACTAAATGTTGAAAAAAGAAACGAAAAAGTAATTTGTTAACGAGACGTGATGACTCTACGGACTCTACTGACGAGCAAATTAAGTTTAAATGTGAGTTTAAGAAGAAGATTAAAAGTTTGTTAACGAAAAATTAAAATTTTATTGTGATGAGCATTTTATACTGATGAGCAAAACTAACTAAAACAAGATATTAGAATATCATTTTCATGTCAACAAAATAAATTTCGTAATGATGAACTAAAAGGAACTCTACTTTTGTCGAGCAATCTAAATTTTGTAATTTGTAACTAAAAGGGACTTTATTGACGAGCAAAACCAACTTAAACAAGCCTGAAAGTTCCACTTTTGTGC